TCCCTATTGGCCGGATTGCCGGAGCGCTGTCAGAGTTTTACATAACTGTACGACTCGTACTGCGGTGGGATCTGAAAGCCGGCAACTGATATTCGTGCCTGAGAGTGAGCAACGATTCGCCTATGCACATTTGTTTCTCGCTTCCGTAACCTTGTATTGGCACATTTAGGGTACCCTGTACGAAGGCACTCTTGGTGACACCTGGTGTAAGCGACCTCTGGTTTATAGGGTATTCACACGAAGTGAAAATGAACGAAAACACGTTTGCGTAAAAGTGGACAAGCTGCCCACCAGATTCACACGGACAACAGACCCTGTGCAAATCTCGCATGCGTCTATGTACTCATGTACTTCAGTACCATACTCAAGTACTTTCGCTGTTTTACACGAGCTCAAAGGACAAACTAACTTGGGCGTAAGACCCCCGAGCAAGTTTATGAAGATTTTGCACGCGCTTGGGTCACACGAGTAAAAACAGTGAGTTTGCGTGTCGTGTGAATCCCCTATTAAGCGACCACCTGCTTTTAACGACCGTTTTCCCATACAGGGGCAGTTCTACACAGAAACTGCACTGGACACGGCGAGCACAAGCAGTTTAGGGGGGGGGGGGGGGGTCGTTTTTGATCTATAGGTTTGGGTAGAAACTTCTTCTTTCTGTGGAGGTGTTTTTTTCTACCCCGAAGAGCAGATTCTACTTTCCTCCACCCACTCTAGCAGGTTTGAGGTTGATAGAAGTACATGTAAGTTATCTCTGCACTTGAGTAGCAATGAAGGCTGGTTTCCACAAAAAACGTGCACCGTCCTGTAAAAATCGACGTTCTACCGAAACGGGTAGAACTGCGCCCGTAAGCTACCATCTACCGTCTTCGCTTTCCAACATCCACTCTACTCTACAGGTAGACGAGAACGAACTCAGATTATTCACCAATAGTTAAAAATAGTCTATGGATGCGCTGTGCTACATACACGGTTCCGTCCATTCTACTGTTGCTCGCGATGCATGCGCCGTTAGATTCCGCTCTACTCATTCCGAAGCGGAGGCTGAACTTCAGATTCTTCCGGTACACACTCGAAGCTCACATTCTTGGCAGATATCTGCTGCATGCACACTGCCCGATTTGGACAAAGATTTGTCTATTCCCTAAATCTGGGTCGGGAACGTGTAATGGAACGCGTCTAATGTCTGTACGAGTGTATTCTATTTTCAGCACACCCAACTCGCAACACACGGACAGTGAACATTTAGACAGTTTACTGTACGTGGTGCAGCCAAGGACTGTTCGTGTGGTGCGAGTTGGGTGTACTAAAAATATGACACGGCTACACAGGAGTTCGAAGTTCTTCAAAAAGTGTATTTTATGAAGTAGTGGTTGCGACTTCGGCGATGATTTGTAAGAAAGGTTTGCTCCCCACACCGGAGCTCGCGCTATCCCGCCGACTTTACTTGACACTTGACTGACTCACGACTGCCATCCAGAGCACACGAGAAGTCCATCGAACCTTCGACTCGGCAAACCTGCAAGAAAGCACCACTCCCTGCTCAATACACAGTGTTTCGGGGAATTCACCCCTCATCAGTTGAGCTTGAGTAGGCTGAGGAAGATTGTGCCTGAAGAGCACCACTTATATAGTGCTCTCCAGGCACAAACATCACCAGGGATACAAACTTACAGAGACGCTCCGCTTCCAGCGCGACAAACACCTCGTGAACACCAGATAGCAGCGTGAGTCAGTGTCGCTCCTGGACGGTGAGACAGACGTCGAGGACCCTCGGTCATTCGCAACGCTGTCACCTCCAAACCAACTAGTCGCAAGCCCGCGCTGGGCACAACAGTACGAAGTAGTGGTTGCGACTTCGGCGATGATTTGTAAGAAAGGTTTGCTCCCCACACCGGAGCTCGCGCTATTCCGCCGACTTTACTTGACACTTGACTGACTCACGACTGCCATCCAGAGCACACGAGAAGTCCATCGAACCTTCGACTCGGTATTGAGCAGGGAGTGGTGCTTTCTTGCAGGTTTGCCGAGTCGAAGGTTCGATGGACTTCGCGTGTGCTCTGGATGGCAGTCGTGAGTCAGTCAAGTGTCAAGTAAAGTCGGCGGAATAGCGCGAGCTCCGGTGTGGGGAGCAAACCTTTCTTAGTGTATTTTATGTTATATTAAAAAAAAAGAGCAAACATCAGCATGCATTTACCTTGTCATGTTCAGCCATCCGGTCAGAGAGTGACTGGCGACATGTCGAATTCCTAGCACGAATCGATAGCCCCACGTGTCATCGAATGTTGGCCATATCAGAGGCAAGCCTGAAAGCAGCCGTACATGGCAGCGAGGGCACGTCCTGAAAGGTGGGCTGCATCACCGCCATAGCTATAGGCTGTCGCAGCGCGTTCCGGAGTGTCAGCATTTGAACAAATGCCCTTCCAAAAATGTATCCACTATTGCCGAACTGTGTGTCGTAGTCGATCGAGCTTCGCCTGTTGATTAAAAGAATTGACACTTGACTGACGCCCGGCCTCCATCCAGACCACACGGGAAGTCTATCGTATCCGGCACTCGGCAAACCTGCCAGAATGCACCGCTTCTTGCTCCAAAGGCAGTGTTCCTGGGAATTTACACCTCGCCAGTCTAGCTTGAGTGGGCTAATGTTGTGCAACGGCTTGTGAGCTCCGAGAGCACAGCATTATGTAGTGCTTTCCGAGCCAAAATATCACCAGGCAGGGATACCAACTAACAGTGACGTTCCATTTCCAGCGCGACAAACACATTCCGAACACAAGCGTGAGTAATTGTCGGGTGTGAAGGTGCACCTCCATAATAGTCGCCACGGACTCACGCTAAACTAAAATTTGATGTGCTGTCCTTTCGCAACCGTTCAATCTGGAATTATATCCAATTTCTGCGAATTCTTTTTGCTGGGAATGGCAGACACGCAACCACCATGCAGCGACTGGAGTAAATGGCCCAAGGGCCTGAGAAAAAAATTAACACCAGACGTGGTAGGTCTAAGTAGTTGCACCTTGGTGTATTAATTTGGAAGCCTTGTACATTCATAAGTTGGGTTCTAAATTAGGTGTTCCGAAGAAGAACGTGTTGGATTTGCAGTTGTTTGCCAACAGTGGTCGTGAATGTTTCACGGAGAGTTCTTGAGGTGTAGTGTGTTCCTTTCTCTCCTTCCTTTGTTCTTTTTCTTTCATTATTGCTACTGCTGTTGGTCTCTGCTGGTGTTCTATTCTTTCTTTTCCCTCTTCTTTTAGCACACCTCGTTGAGTGTAGGGCTGAAACGAATGCTCAATGAAGCGAACCCCACCACCCTACGCTATCATATTGGGCTATGATTCCGTTTGACTTTGCGAAGTAAAATATAGAATACAACACAATACAATTCGCTAGGTTTTTTTAATTAAGCCATGCAACTCTGCATTATTGACCCGAAATGAATCGGCCAACCTCCAATGTTCTACCACCAGCACAGCGGCCCTTGAAATGCAATCTGACTTTCCGTCCTGGCTTGACGACGGGAGCAGAGAGGCTTTGCCGAGTTGCCCTCGGCGTATGTTTGCCCTCCGACATCCAGGCACCTCCATGATGGTGCCAGATTACCATCGTGAAAGTCACATTGTTGGTGCTAGAGGTGCAGCCCCTTCGTGGTGCCGAAAGGCGAAACCGCTACGTGCGTGTCAACAATACCAGGAGTCCAGGACTGACTCGGAAGTCGATCGGAGGAGAGAGAGTTAACCCAGTCATTCAGGACATACCTCATCCTACTCCACTTTCGAAATTGTTGCCCGGGCCCTTCGTGGTGCCAAAACCATCACCTGCGTGTCAGGACTGAAGTAACTAGTTTTGTGCAGCGGGCCTGCACTGGGGTTGTGTAGGAAAGTCTCATCTGTCTTGACAAGTCATTATTTTACGACTTCCAGGGCATACGGCACGCAATGGCCGAGTGGAGGACAAAATCACCTCGTTCGGGACCTTCCATTCACTTTTCGAAGTGGTTTTTTTTAGATTTCATGTCTGTATTGCCCCCGCTATGACTCTGTGGTGTCAAATTGATGTGCGCTAAAAGTCGGAACGAAACTTTTTTTGAAGCACTTTTTTCAGCCCTGGCCCCGTACTATACGGAAAAAGTTCAACTCGGAAACGGCTAAAATACGGTACAACCTCGAGGTTTACCGAGCTGAAAATCACAGAGTACGTAGTGGTTGTAACACTGAATCGAATGGTCTTGGTCCGAAGAAGCTGCGACAAACGGTTCCCCAATCGAACGCGCTCCAAATATGGCCGTTTTGTACACATCTAGATAGTGTGGCTACCTGGCTGCACGCTGTGACGTCATCACCTGGATTTGGGTGAGGCGCGCTCAAATTCGCACATGTTCGATTGGGGGTATCTGACGAACCATAGGCCGCAGCCTCCTCGGACAAAGACCATTCAACCCAGCGCCGCCCCGAACTCTACGGACTGTGAAATTTAAATTTTTCACCGAACTTCCCCTTTAAAGAGAATATTTTCGTTGGATAGAATGACTCCCACCACTCTTCTATACAGTCATACAAACTTGCACGCCCTTGAGAAACGCCTCAACTTCAAAACCTATGTTTTTGTTTACCGCTGCCTGAATGGACTTGCTAGTCCTCTTCTGCGAGACCGCTTTACCTTGCGCGCCCATGATGCTCGCACTGCAGCCACCATCCGTGGCCAAGTCTCTGCTGCTCTTGTTCTGCCCCCGCTAACACCCGATATGGCTTTCGTGCAATTTCTTATTTGGGCGCTGCCAGGTGGAATACACTTCCACCGGCTTGCCGCATGTCTAGTTCACCAGCTGAATTTCGCTCATCCATCAAATCATACCTAGGGTTTCCTGTAAAAGGCGCTGACGCCTGTTGGGAATTCCCTAGTAAAAGAAGAATAAATAATAATAATAATAACAATAATAATATAATAGCTATAAAGAGAACAAATTCTGCTGTCATCGCCACACTACAACAAAGTCATGAAGGTTTACCAAAATCGATTTTCTTGTCACAATCATCAGTGGAAAGCCGTGACTGAAGAATAACCATGCCAAATCAATAATATTTATATACATTCAATAATGTGTTACGAGAACAAAACAAAGTGCTAAAAATAGAATGAGGGAAGGTGAGACAATAGAAGTAAAGTGAGAGCTAAGTGCAACAGGGGTGAGGAACTAATTGCAACGCTAGAACTATGTAGTGAGACAAACAAAAAGGAATTTAGTAAAAAAAATTGACGGGTTCGCGTACCGGGCAGGTCAAGGACAAGGAGTCGTACAACTCCCTGGTCAATAACCACCTTTCCGCTGCCCTGGGACGCCACCACCCCATGATCAGGCGTAAGATGTGGCTTTTTTAGTCCAAAAGAAAAGGAAAAAATATGAAAGAGGATGAAACAGCAAAAAGATTGCCAGGATAGAAAACATGGCCTGTAACACTCACTCAAGAGAGGCTTTGCACATATAATATAGTTTGCGCGTTGCCGGCCAGTAAGTGTTTCTGTTGCTGGCAAAATAACTGATGTTGCCTTGATAGTTATAAGATTGTCCCAACCACACGACGGGCGTGTAGTCAAGACTGTACTGCTGACGGACCTTGGCAAGCAGCCGCTGTACACAACCGTGTTTGAAATCATATGGCGTGACCATTGAGGTCGTGAGGCCTAGCGTGTCACACACGGCCTTGGCTTGCCAGAACGTTTTCTCCTTACTGCTGGCCATCCTAAGTACGTTATTAGTCTCGTGGCAGTGATCCCAAAGGTACGAACCTTGATCGCAAAGCAGGTGAAGCACACAACAAAGTAAACCGTTTTTAAAAAGAACGTCTTGTGTCACATCACAAAGAAGAATGATTTCAGTACACGGAAGGACCCTGAAATGATGCTGTTGCGGGAATGCAGGAAAACAAGTGTGGTCACGCACGGAGCGCAACCATCAAATACTCCGTGGTTCTTGGATGGTCAATTGGCGGTCAGACCAGACATTATTTGAGCGGGACTTTCAGCTGCAGACCATGTCTATATACACACGAGTATGCCACATTCCTACACCTCAGCAGTCATTGCACATAACACTTTCCTTTGAAGTTTTATTGTCTCATTCCATGTGTCCGGCCATTATTCTATCCCCCCCCCCCCTGTTATGCTACCTATTCAATATCGCACAAGTGGAGAACCCCTCGACAGGCTACCTGCCTCTGGGTCATCCCTCAAATAAAGATAATAATAATAATAACCATGTGGTTACCACTGCAAAAAAAGAGTGAAACAAGAATCAACAATCTGCAACTGCAACACTCAGTATTAGCTATAAGATGATTATAAACTGAAAATTTTCCCTTACAGAACGTACTGGAGGATGTACCCAGTGTGCTGACAGTGCTCAACACCGCGGAAGCAGAGCGTAATACGCAGAATAACAAGGACAATCAAGGCTTGTTTGCTGCTACTTCAAGTTTCATGCTCTCGCGAGCATCAGGCAACACCGAACTTACGAACTGCACCTTGACGACCATGACCAATCTCTCGCCCTCTCTCTCTCTCTCTCTCTCTCTCTCTCACTCTCTCTCTCTCTCTCTCTCTCTCTCTCTCTCTCACTCTCTCTCTCTCTCTCTCTCTCTCACTCTCTCTCACTCGCTCACTCGCTCACTCGCTCACTATCTCACTATCTCACTATCTCACTCGCTCACTCGCTCACTCGCTCACTCGCTCACTCGCTCACTCGCTCACTCGCTCACTCGCTCACTCTCTGTCTCTGTCTCTGTCTCTCAATCTCTCACTCTCTCACTCTCTCACTCTCTCACTCTCTCACTCTCTGTCTCTCTCTGTCTCTTTTGCGATAATGCTCCCGCTCTTCTCTCGAGAATAGCTCAACCCCCGACACACCAGCTCAGCACCACACGCCTCACCCGCCAGGCTGTACGACTATCCACCGCGCATCCCCATCAGTTACAGAATGTTCTTCCTACAAATTCCTGGAACAATGTGAGCCGAGCCTTTCCCCACTCCGTCATCCTCATTTGTAACCAGCTGCTTGCCTCTATCATTCCCCACCCATTCCACCTAAAGAACATCCATAAGTTCAAGACAGCAGCTTTTTATTTTTATTTTTTAGCTTATCACCTTATCACCATCTCAACTTATTCTTTTGCTCATTGAGCAACACATTCTTTTCATTTTCTTTCTCCATTTACATTGTAATGTGACACTGCCTAGCTCTGCTTCCTTCGTTCTTTTTACAAACTCTTCGCCTGTCCAGTCCCTTCATTGCTTACAGAGATTGGGTTGTTAACAATAACACGTACATGGCACTGTACTACTTACTGAGATCCATCGTAAAGCACTGGTGGTTGGCCACAGTTCCTTTGCAGAACGCATCAGGGCAGACTTTCAGATAATCCGGTCTCCAGGTGTTGCATGGTCGATTGCATACCGTATTAACTGGGCGAACAGGCAGTTACATAGGAGAGGTATTACATGCAGGCAGGCATAGTGGGATGGTCTAAGACCATGATTGAGAAACAGAGGGTACCAGGTTCAAGTCCTGCTTGGAAGCGGAAAGGTTTTTACAGCCGTGCTGCGACCCATAGTTAATTGGGAACTCGTGGCCTAGCACGATGAGAACATGGATGCAGTGAAAGGGATTTTCGGTCTTTGACCACTTTCCTGTGAGCTGATCTACTCACCTCCCACCGCTTTAGGAGCTGCATCTGCGCCTTGATCCTTGAAGGGTGGTGGCGTTCCTATGGGTGCAGGAAAACTCGGTTTCCAGCCGAGTCTCATGCGAACCGTGAAATCTTTTTTTATGTACAAGCAGGGCTGAGGTACTGGCATAAGCAAACCAGTTACCCAGCCGTACGTGTCATCTACGCATATGGATGACGTATTCCGGAGCATGAAGCACGGAGCAGTGTGGATGTTTGTCTGTGTGTGTGTGTGTGTGTGTGTTTGCCTGTGTGTGTTTCGATGCGTATAATTATTTGTGAAGAATAAACACATGCGACGTGAAAACTCGTACTGGGGACATGGCTGTTTGTTAAATTCCAGTAAACGATAATTTCTATATACCGGTATTTAACTCGGATGGAGAGCCAAGGATTAAAAAATAAAAACAGAAATAAAAAATAAAAAGAGCGGACCATAAGTTTAGAAGTTATCCGTTTTATCTAACAGAGAATGTCAGTAGCATATCGGTCAGTTTTGTGCTAAGTGCTAATTGTTGCACATTTTGACTCAACCGTATCCTACTTATTAATCTGTAGTATTGGACAAAACGGATAACTTGTAAACTTATGGTCCTCTCTTTTCTATAATTATATTATTTGAAGATTTAGGGGCCGTCATGTTCCAAAGCAGTATCGTTCAGATATTATACCTACAAAACTAGGGACCGGCGGATTCTGCTCGAAAAGGTGGCAGATTCTGCTCGAAAAGCAGTGAAATTGGTAGAACCATACAAACCTTATGGCGGGCAATTCCTCGAATTCTGCTCCAATTCTTTATCCACACACCAAACATGCATGAAACTTGCCAGAAAAAGTACCGAATTCTGCCAATTTTTCTGCCGGCAAAATCCGCTGGACCCTACACAAACACATCGTCTACTGTAGCCGGTATGCTGCTGTTGTTACAAACGGTAGTGGGGTTTATGCCGGACTTCGTACTGCATCTTCTATCCACTCACCAATAACAGAAGATAAGGGAGAGCCCCCAAACCTCTGGTTAAGGTCTGGAGAAAGTGTGTAACGATACGGCGTGGATTTGCTGGTGAGCGCTCTGCAGAGCCGGAAGTCGTCTATGAGCGGATTGCCTCGGAGTGCTATTGTCCTGGACAAACAAGAACAGAAATTGTTCGTTACAAAAGGTGTACAAGTTCTAAATCAAGCGATGCTGGTCTTGGCGAATACAGAGGACCCGCTGATGCGGCTACCATGGGCCTTCAGTGATGATCGAGGGTTTTTTTTAACGTATAAAGGAAAGGTTAGTGTGCTTTTCAACCCCCACCCACCTAACGGCTCTCTCTGCAGGTAAAACGAACTCCCAACAAAATCTTGATTCCAGTCTTCGGCGCCCAGAGGTGACTGAGCATTCTAAATGTTCATTCAGTAACAAAATTTCATGAGCTACAACTCCACAAGCCCACCCACGCGTAAACGAAAACCTTCGACCGCCCGGACCTTTTAAAAAGACATAGAATATGGGCGAAGAACCTTTAAAAGTTATGACAAGGAAACCGGCCTCGGTTCTAAAAAATTGATCACTTACGCTCCTGGGGGTAGTCCAGCAAACGTGTTAGGCGGTAGCAGTCGGATTTTGTTCTGATTCAATAACCTGAAGTGGGGAAATGGTGAAAGCAAAGTAGAAAATGCTGGAGGCCAGTTTACATATTAGACTCGCCCACTATTCGACAAAGAATGCCGTTAGTTAGTGACCGATCGCCAAGTCAGGCAATGCACAGTCAGATCCGCAGTGTTTCTAATGCTTCCTCGAGTACGTGTGGTCCGGTAAGCGTCGTCACGTCGGCTGACTGTCAAGTCAATCTACACAGAGAGCGAGTGTCAGCGCTCAGAACAGCCAGGGTTTGCGCATAATACGGGGGAAGTTGCAGTATAAGAAAGAAAAAGGACCAAGGAACTACACGTTACGTTACAATGTCCTCCAACACCACCAGTTACCAAACAGATACTAAACAATCCTTGGTCCTTTTTTCTTTCTTATGAATTAAGCCTCGGCTCTCCATCCAAGTTGCAGTATCAAAATATATTTCCATAATGTAATAGAACATGTGCAGACACTTAAAAAAATCTATTTTGTTACTATTATTCACAAACCCAACCCGCAAAATAAATAATTACGTGAACCAAAACAAACAGCTACTGAGTAGGGGCGACTTCCTTCTTTGGCATATTCCGATAACTCCTGAAGAAAGCCGATAATACTAAATTGTATACTTCACACACACGACTTTGCTGTTTTAACACTCCATGAAAGGACATCATACTTACAAAGAGCCAAGCTTAGGCAGATTGGAGAAGACTTTTGGCCCAACAGTTTCTATTTGACAGCTCGACAAATCGCTGTGCGGCAGAAGAAAGGACAATCAGAGGACGAAAACAAACAAATGTGGCATGGACCAAAGTACATGTACACGTACAGTCAACTTCGTTAATAACAACTTCGGATATAACGACAATTCGCGAATAACGACAGAATTTCCATACCCAGAGCAAAGTCCCATCCCACTGTAATACATGTTATAACGAGACTTCGGGTATAACGACACTTCGCGAATAAAGACACCTTTTTGACGCCGCACCGAGTGTCGTTATAAGCGAAGTTGACTGCATGAACTAGTAGACACTCCAGGAAAAATGGAGTAAAACCGAGTGAGGGAGCATTAGAGGTATAGCAAAACTGCCCACTCACTCACCACCACCAATACACTAAAACCTGGTTTAAGCGACCTCTCGTTTTAGAGACCACCTGCTCTTAACCGACCGTTTTTCCATGTACGGATAGTTCCACACAGACACTGTGGGACCTGGTTCTAAAGACCACCTGGCTTTAACGACCGCTTTTGCTTGCACCGTGGGGTGGTCGCTTAAACCAGGTTTTACTGTGTACATACGTGGTTGGAGGTAGGGATGGGAACTGGTGTAATGCATGTAATTGTGTTACACTATTTCCATGCTAGCAGTTCCACTGCATTTATGTACGCACCACTTACAGGTTAGTAATCTGGAGTGACGTGTCAAATGTTCCGTCAAGTAAATGTGGAATCACACTGTTCGATAAAGTTCTGCAGGGCGAACACAGGAAACATTTGAAGAAGAGGTAGACAGAAAAACAGATAGAGAAATACAGAAAGAGACAGACAGCACCAGAGCTAAATGCACAGGCAGAGACACCGAGAGAAGGGGGAAACAGAGAGACAGAGACGGAGAGAACGAGAGGGAGAGAGAGAGAGAGAGAGAGAGAGAGGAAGAGAGAGAGAGAGAAAGAGAGAGAGAGGAAGAGAGAGAGAGAGAAAGAGAGAGAGAGGAAGAGAGAGAGAGAGAGAGAGCCACTCAGCCATCATAAGTCTTCTGCCTGAGAGAGCTCTGTCCGGGTATCGAGCGTTAACATTGGAGCAGCAGAAGAAACCTACTTATAACTTACACATGACGGAGCTCTGCGAAGTGCGCGAATGTTTGGTTGTCATTGATGCGTAGCTGGTTGTTGTCCAAGTGCCTGCATACAGGAAAGGAATAATCAATAATATTGATTACAGTGCTCAATCTGCGGACAGACCTGTTTCATCCTTTGTGGACTCATGAGCGCAGCACCGAGGAAATGAGGCCGACCTGATAGCAATGAATAAATTAATAGATTTCCAAAGCCAGATTGAAACCAGGACCGAACGTACCTTGCCAGAGTGCTCAAACTGACAGGGCAGAGAGTTCTGCCGAACGCAAACGCACTGCCCTACATAATCATAATAAATTATGATTGTTATTAGTGTATGCCAGGAACATAAAGGCAGGTGCAGATGCACCTAGGGTACCCTGTAAAAAGACTCACAGTCTGTGGGGATTGCCGTAGTAAAATAATAAATACTACTTCTACTGTCTGTACTGCTAGATGCACTTATACACGCACAATAAGCAGATCCACACACATAACGTGGTCCCAGCGGCGACAAGTCAACATTTTCTTCACACTTTCAAACTCACGCTTCCAGTGAATCCACTGAGGCCTGTGGAATCACGCGGCTTTGTAGCTGTGTGAACTTTTGAGAAACAGAAAAGGAATTTTTTACTTACAAGTAGGCTGTTTGCTCTCTGTCGCCCTGGGGAATAGTTGGAAAGGATGTGTACCCACGAGAAGAGCAGTTGTACTGGAAGTACTGTTTTCCGAGAATGTAGACATTGCTTCGCAGACACGGCATCGCTGACTCGCCTCTGCTGCCGAATGCCAGTACAAGACCCAGCGTTATCGCCAGCTGCATCGTGTAGCTGAGTCCTCTTGGAGCTCTTCGTTCACCTTCATGAACAAAAAAAGAAAAAGGAATGTACTCACATGCAGAGCCAAGGTTTAAGTTATACAAAAGAGAAAAAAAAGGTTTGCTCCCCACACTGGAGCTCGCGCTATTCCACCGACTTTACTTGACACTTGTCGGCGGAATAGCGCGAGCTCCAGTGTGGGGAGCAAACCCTTTCTTACAAATCATCGCCGAAGTCGCAACCACTACTTCGTACAAAAGAGAAAGACCAAGGAGCTACAAGTTACGCTATACTGTCCACTAACACCACCAGTTACTAAACAATCAGCTCATGCGATAACATTGCACGACAGTTGGTTGTTAGTTGACCGTCGGTCAGTGTCGTGCAATGTTATCGCATGAGCTGATTGTTTAGTAACTGGTGGTGTTAGTGGACAGTATAGCGTAACTTGTAGTTTCTTGGTCTTTCTCTTTTGTATAAAAAAGAGACAAATAAAGCATTACAAGCACGGCGAGTATCCTGCGTATGGAGAGGATTGGTAGACAAACTCGCATAAATACAAGCCGACAGCCTGCGACCTGTTTGAGGATTGGTAGACAAACTCGCATAAATACAAGCCGACAGCCTGCGACCTGTTTGAGGATTGGTAGACAAACTCGCATAAATACAAGCCGATAGCCTGCGACCTGTTTTCTCTTTGCAGCGACTCCAATTCTTCAAGCAGTAGGCGCCGCACAAGCATGTAAAACGAATAATTTTAAATAGAACCTGATTTGCGTGACCTAGATCTAACTCTTCAGGGCTGTATTGGACAGTGTTTTTTTGTTTTTGTTTTTACTAAAATTCACGTGTGTCCATTTTCTTATTTGTCAAGCATCCCTATGGTTCTGGGACAGTCCTGATATCGAGTCGTTAATATTAACCCGTTGTCCCGCCCACCGACCAGATATGCCCTGTTTTTGTTTCCTATATCGTCGTGAAAGAAGGACAGTAAAACCTGGTTTAAGCGACCAGCCCACGGTGCAAGGAAAAGCGGTCGTTAAAGCCAGGTGGTTTGTAGAACCAGGTCCCACAGCGTCTATGTAGAACTCTCCGTGCATGGAACAACGGTCGTTAAGATCAGGTGGTCTCTAAAACGAGAGGTCGCTTAAACCAGGTTTTCCTGTATTCTGAAACCAAGTCGTCCTGAAAGTGGAACATTTCGTAATAAAAATTGAAAAGATGTGAAACGTCGCACATTCAGCTACGTGTACATGTACATGTACAAGCACAGCAGGCACAGCAGCCAGCCGCACGACTGGGTGTAATCTACGAGTATGAGTTCATGTATTGATGGAGCGAGCTTAGCTGAGCGTGCAATCTTGGTACTTCTGATTTTTGTTGCTAGACATAATGTGATGATTGATGACACATAAATTGATGTTGCTGTTTTTGTTTTTTGTTTTTTCTTCTTTTGGTTTCCCGGTCTCGGGGCCTTCTATTCGGTACTCTTTGTAGTTGTACGTACTTCTGTACTGTTGAGCTATCCGAATTCAAATAAACACTAACAAATAAATTTAAAAAACATACATGTAGCTGGTGACAGAAATCCAACGGTGTGTTTAAATAATCGCTGGGCGCTGTGCAGCCCTATCACTACACACACTGTTCCGTTATTCGGTCACAATGCAAACAATAATTACTGTAAAAGCAGATATTTTCGGTGGTGTAATACTTTCGGTATTCTCCAAAATCGGCGGTTCGGTGGAGAGAAATTTTCGGTAAAACCCGTTTTCCAGGTAAGTGTACTAGTACTAAATGTACACCGTACAGGTTGTACGGACATTTTCGATGTGTTTTAATTTCGGTAAAAATTGTCGGCACCGAAGTTACCGAAAACAAAACACCACCGAAAATTTCTGCTTTTACAGTATTATCACTGTGTTGGGATTTCACTAGCTACAGTGCATTTCAAAACTATAGACGCGTAGGGTTTTTGAAATATTTCAAATTTGGCTGGAACTTTTTGAGAATAGTTTTCGGAATATTGCTCAGGATCGCTCCACAATTACTCTCATTATAGTTTCTAAAGGATTGGATAACAGACGCCCAATTTGGAAAAATTTATGCACAAAGTGATCACAGATTTTATGCGGTATAGATGCTGGCATAACGGTTTTTGCCTAGGTACGCGTCTATAGTTTTTAAATGGACTGTAAAACTGTACATGTACATACCGGGGACAGTCAAACAGAGCACCGAAGGGTTACGGCTGTAACTTGCTCAGAGTTTCTTGCACAACTGTACAGTCATAGACTAATAATAATGGTGGGTATCCTGGTACAGTAAAACCTGGTGTAAGCGACCTCTGTGTTTAGCGACCACCTACTCTTAACGACCGTTTTCCATGCACCGACAGTTCTACACAGACAAGTGTAGGACCTGGTTCTAAAGACCACCTGGCTTTAACGACCGCTTTTGCTTGTTGGTCGCTTAAACCAGGTTTTACTGTACCGTACTGGCAATATATGTTGCCGCAGTGAGGCCATGAAGCGTTACATTGGCACATGTTTGCCGCACGCAGGGCGTTACATGCAAAGTCGCACATGAGCCGTTACACAGGTTTCTATATTGCCGCAGTCCTTTTTTTGCTATTGCAGGACTTCCTGCTGCGTCCAGTTTTGAACTTTTCACCACGCGGTACACGTGCTTTCACAGTTTTCAGCCTTTTTTGCAATGAAAAGATCGCCGCACCCCGCCGGACGCGCGTTACGAACTCAACGAAAATTTGTCGCACTAGCCTGGTCGCGCGTTACGCCGCACCCCCCCCCCCCTGCGTTACGCGTTACGCGGCAACATATATTGCCAGTACGGTATTTGTATCTTTGAGGTGTGCGCTGCACATTCCTGATAGTGTTCACGATCAACCCTCACTTATGTCCTTACCACCGCGTCACACCGCGCAATCACGGACTTGGATCGATCTGAGTGACACTAATCGACACCTCAGCAAAAGTCCAAACTACTACTAGTACTAGTACCCACTCAGCACCATGGTCCCACTGATAGACCGTCACGTTTTTGTATGTGGCGCGTGCTGTTGCCCCCCCCCCCCCCATCCACTAGCACAGTGTTGGCAACTGAACTATGACGTGGCTGTATGACGTAGCGAGATAGACAAGGTCACCATTCACTTGTGCCTGAGAGATTAAAAGGTATAAGTCTGACACACAAACTAGGAGTTGAGCTGCGAACCCCTGAGCACTGTGAGCAGGGCAGCTTAGTTCTAAATGTACCAGGAAGTCGTACATATAATTTTCTTAGCAGGTACAATTCAGACAGTTGTTCAAATTTTGAACAGCAATGTTTGTCAAATTACACCTGCTTGATGAATGCATCTTTCCTTCTCTGAGCCGTTCTATGTTTATGTAAACATATAACGCAACGCCAAAGCAAAACTAAATACATTTGATAGAGTTCAACCGGGAAGGAATTTTTCATAAATCGAAATTCCCCATATTTTGGAAATGTTTCGATTCGATCAATATACAAAGCCGAGCCCAGAGCCCCTACACGTTGTACAGAAAGTTTTACAAAATGGCGCATGCGACCAGGGGCAAAAATGATGCACATGAAACACTAAGATGATGGCCTCTGCTTTGCAATACTAGTGGCAACATCAGTGATAACAAGCCCCACCACCCATTTTGTTTTTTGCCTTGTTCATGCATACATAAGAGAGAGAGAGAGAGATCGAGAGAGAGATCGAGAGAGAGATCGAGGGAGAGAGATATAGATAGATAGATAGATTGAGAGAGAGAGAGAAAGAGAGTGAGAGTGTGTGTGTGAGAGAGAGAGAGAGAGAGAGAGAGAGAGAGAGAGAGAGAGAGAGAGAGAGAGAGAGAGAGAGAGAGAGAGAGAGAGAGAGAGAAAGAGAGAGAGTGAGAGTGTGTGTGTGCGAGAGAGAGAGAGAGAGAGAGAGAGAGAGAGAGAGAGAGAGAGAGAGAGAGAGAGAGAGAGAGAGAGAGAGAGAGCGACAAGGACAGAGACAGAGAGAAAGAAAGGCCTTCATAATAAAATAACGTACCTCTAGTCTCCATCATGTCTAGTGTGGAGGAACAGGTGTCTTCAATTCACCGCTGGGGCAAGTTATGAACCAGCCCTGACCTGACCGGAACTGGTAGAATCTGCAGAGGTACGAAGCGACTGTCAAAAAGGTGTTCTACGCATCTATTGTATGCATGTTACCCTGCTCAATTTAGTTCCAATCTGCCATCTGGACGACCTACGAATAATATATATAATTATGTAGCGTATAGCGTATCCCCGTACGTTAGCATATCCCGTATGTTACTGTATTCCCGTACGTTAGCATATCCCCGTACTGTATTCCCATACGTTAGCGTATCCCCGTACATTAGCGCACGGTGTCTGCCTTTGTATTAAAGCTGCTGCTCACGATTCTTTTATTGCCAGTTAGTTCATTTAGTAGCCAGTCAGTTAATTTAGTAGCCAGTCAGTTAATTTAGTAGCCAGTTAGTTAATTTAGTTGCCAATCAGTTAATTTCGTTGCCAGTACATTTCAATTGCCAATTACAGTGTGTTCACTGAGACCCTTGTGCGTTCTTGCCTCCGAGAGACTGCGGCCCGCTACAATTATAACCCATTGCATTCTTGCCAGCTGCAGACTCTGGAAGCGTTGCGTAGAGCTACGGATGCTATCTCCAGTTCATAGTCGCCCCGCACTTCTGACAAGAACGAGCTTTCCGTGGACGAATCCCCGCACTGCAGGTACTCAGTATCCGACGTAGATTGACTTGTTTTGCAGGCTTGCAGTTCAACTCGGGGAGTCAGGGAGACAATAGGGAAGGTTAAGTCTCACGTAACGGATACCGGACCGTGGATGATACACGTAAAGTTCATGCAATGGACCCACGTTCGCAATGTTGTCTTTAGCCACATGGAACAAACAAAACTGCGGCAAGAAGCGAAAGGTCCTAACTTGGTGAAAGACGAAGCTTCGAATCTCATAGAGTATTTTGATTTCGTGCTTCGAAACCTCTTCACCTGAGCACCATCACAGCTTGCACAATACACTCCATTCTGATTTTCACCCACTTTCTGGCGGAACGTGGTCGAGCCTCCATGCACGGTATGTCGTGAACCAGAAAACGTCAGTACGTGGGTCACTGAGTATCAGGTGGTAAAAACAAAAGTAAATTACCGTGTCTGTTCCCGAAGGCAACTCACGACGGCCGCAAAATTCCGGTAAACCCTAGCGGCAGGTGCAGCGCCCAAAGGTGGGGGTGAGTTGACAAGTCTCACAACCACTGGCACAAGTGCCGAGAACGACCCCATTAGCTGCATCAATGTACCCCTTGTGCCTGGCCACAAGTTCCCAGTTGACTGTGGGTAGCAGCACGGCTGGAAAAACCGCTCCCAGGCAGGACTTGAACCAGGTACCTCTCGTATCTCAATCTAATGGGGTCGGTCTCGGCACTTGTGCCAGTGGTTGTGAGACTTATCCACTCACCCCCACCGTTAGGCGCTGCATCTGCCGCTAAGGTTTACCGGGTGTTATAGTCCATCGGCCAAGTCTCAAAATCGAAAGTGGTGATGCATTGAGCTTCCAAGTAAACGCGACCATACCCAGCACGTAGAGAATATATCAGAGAACACTATTCCGTTTGTTGGACGTGCCGAATTCAGTGCTGAGAAGGCACTGGAGCCACACAGGAACTTATGATCGAGCATGACCACAGACTTGAAATACAGGGTCCGGCTTTTTCCAGCCGTGCTGCTACCCACAGTCCACTGGGAACTTGTGGCCAGGCACAAGGGGTACATGGATGCAGCTAATGGGGTCGTTTTCGGCACTTGTGCCAGTGGTTGTGAGACTTATCCACTCACCCCCAGTGCCTTCTCAGCATTGTTGGCGGGTAAGCACCTGGATCGTGTCCAAGTACTGCGGTTCTGGTGGCTTGAGGGATGTATGGGTGCTCGCCGTGCGCCCCTGCCGGCAATCTGCTAGTGAAGCTTGGTACCTACTGTGTCCGGGAGATTTTCATCCAGAAGCTGATCTTCCTAGGCTGGAGCTGCTGCTACTCCTGTGCTAGCCCTCAACCACTGGCGCTCCTACTCGGCTCCAGTGTGGGCCATTACCTACCCTGCCCGATTTCGCACTGTTGCTATTCCACACCGTCAGCATTTAACCGTGAGGTCAGACCTTGATCCCTCTCGTCTGCCTCTCTCTCATACACAGATGTGCGGGCATACACACAAACGCACATGCAGACACACGCACATGCGCACACTGTGACACACACATACACATAGCCAAATTCTCTGTGTTTGGTGATCATCATCTGTTTTCTGATGGGCAAGCTCACCTCTGATGCCGATTACTTCCTTGCTTACACCCGGTCTGCTATTAGACCAGTCTGCTCTCCCTTCACTCGTTTCTAAATCCTACTTGGAGCAGTAAGGCTGTGTCACTGCTCCTATCGGTACTGATGTCATTGTTGTGCAAGCAATATCATCGTCATTGGTGGTAATTTTCCACCATGCATGAATCATTAACAATCATCATCTATGTGTCACGGCCCAACCATCCTCGTAACTCCCCTCATTGTGACTAGTGCTGTACCGTTGAAACCTACTTTGCTTCCGTGTATATTCTCTCCAAAGCTCCTTTGTTGCATAGTGATCCGACGCAATGCGCTATCGGGCAATATGGATAAGGTAAGTACAGTAGTGGATAGGTGCGGATAAGTCATCCGTCGTTGCCAATTTGCCGCATGCAGCATGATTGTGCAGCAGGAAGGCACCACATGTCGACTACTACTTACATGTAAACTGTACAGCATTGTGTGCTTACATGCATCTACGGCCATGTGGATGCAATTGAGTCTCACATACATGTACATGAAATATTGCTTGTAGTGCGGCATCAGGTGTTAACATACAATGGCTAAATATTTTCCTCGCAATAATGACCGTATTCACCACAAGTGTGTTTATGTCCAGAGCCAACTCAAGTCCTGCATTATTTATGACCATGACAACAAGTACTTATGGCTGAAATTCTTCTATGACAGGCATGAACACTTGCCTTACAATTTTTCGTGATTGTACGAAGTACATATTCGCTGTTGCATCAATTTTGCACCATTTACGTTGTAGTGCCACTAGTGGTATCACCTGCATGCGTATTGAGTCAAACAAGGTTACCTCTATATAATAATTATGCTTATCGTGGCTATCAAGAGCTTCGATGCAAATTCCCAGCTGACGAATGGTGTCCAGCTCGTGTGCAGCTCAGCTGGCACTCACAACTCATAATAATTGCGTTCTAGACGCCAGATGAGAATGATGTTTCAGCTACAATGTAGACAAAACGTCGATGTTCAAGAAAGCGGTCACTTCATTTTCTGTCCATCCTCAATAGCACGTTAAAGCAAATACGTCTGAAACACAGTAGCGACAATCCGACAGCGGCGACACGCCGTCTTCTCCGAATGAGCTTCTGCCGTTCTAATTCAGATTCCCCAAAAAATGTCCAAATAAATAATAGATTCCACCAAGCTCGCTAGAATCTTGCGAACCGTCAACATGGAGGCATTTCAAGTGTTCGAGCGTGCGTAGATTCTGCTCAGCGGCTCAAGAACATTCGCCACGCGAAAAAAGTCTTGAAAATAGTTATTGTGCCACGATAGTGATAATATTGTAACAACCACAAGACGGGTGTATAGTCAAGGTTGTACTGCTGACGGACCTTGGCAAGCAGCTGCTGTACACAACCGTACTTAAAATCATAATGTTAGTGTGGTCACAGGCAGAGTGTAACCATCGTGGATCCAGTGATGCTTGAACAGGAAATTGACGGTCGGAGAGAGAATTATAGCTGGTGCATGAAGTAGCGCATGGCACATAGATGATGACACAGCAACGACATAGCTCGATTGCGACGTACGTTTCGTCCCTGCTGGACTCATCAGGCAATCGTCTGCTTGGATGTCTTCACACGGAGCTTGACTCGGGAGAATGAAGTTGAAGACACCACTGCAGCTGTACTTATGGTTGATAAAATTTATCAACTATGGTGGTGAAGACACACCTGGCAATATGGCGGTAAACACACGCCTGCCAACACACGCTCTCTCAGCTGCAAAGTTCTGGCACAGAGCTCTCCTTCTCACCGCCACCACAACCATCAGTTCGCGCCTGGCGCCTCGTCGATGCATGATTGGCGGTATCCGACATAACAGGCTGGTACATCAAGTAGCCAGTCCAGCGGGGACGAAACGTACGTCGCAATCGAGCTATGTCGTTGCTGTGTCATCTTCTATGTGCCATGCGCTACTTGATGTACCAGCCTGCTATGTCAGATACCGCCAACCATGCATCGACTAGGCGCCGGGTGCGAACTGATGGTGGTGGTGGTGAGAAGGAGAGCTCTGTGCCAGAACTTTGCAGCTTAGAGAGCGTGTGTGGGCAGACGTGTGTTTACCGCCATATTGCCAGGTGTGTCTTCACCACCATAATCAACCATGTCGGGTGATGTTTGGTTTTTACAGACATTGCCTCTTAAAGCTCATATTGTGAGCCAAGGAAAAACTTTATAACATTAAAAATGTGGGCACAAGTTATGCGATCGAGTCCGCCAACTAAAGCAGATTTTGAACGGTGTGACGTTCATGCAGTCTCAGAATTCCTTGTCAGTTTTGTGCTAGATTGTGCATGTCTGACCGTTCAAAATCTGGTTTAGTTGGTGGACTCGATCGAATAACTTGTGCCCACATTTTCCATGTTACAAAAATTAATAATACTAATACTATTATGTGTGGAGACTGGAGAGTAGCATCTATAAATGTTCCCGTAAACCGGAGTTTGCGCCACTTGAGGGTACTCCGTGAAACTACGAGACCGGTAATAATGAAGGATGGCGAGGATGCCTCAATTCAAATATCGCGAGACGTCCGAAGGAGAGCTGAATTGATTTGCATGCAGTTACTATGGGTCCAATTTACAAAATTGCACACGAATATTGAGGCAATACAATGGCATCAACATCCGAGATTTCACACCTATCAGGCTTTAATGTGCATGCACAGAGTCGCAATACATTTCGCAAGCACGAGACATGTAGATGAACACATCTGAGCTGATCGCCTGTTGGTACCTGAACCGAGAGTACAAGTACTCTTTGTTGAACCTGTAGGATTCTTCACAGCGCAGTTCTGAAAGTCCCATAGCGGAAAAAACCCTGAAGTACTTTGATTGCAGAACGTTCGCACTTTTTCCGGATAGCAGCTTGGTTGAACACACACATACCAACGTACCATACACATAGTTATGGCAAGTGAAATCCGGCCTAAAGAACCGAAAGTAATGCAAAGGGTTCATGCGGCCCGTGACGCCCTCCGGTGCAAGTGGGTTCTTCACCCGTGCATGATGTAACGGGATGGAGAAGCCTAGTGCTACCTTTTGCTTGCACGTCGGATGCATCTAGCTACTGCTGGAGATTTGCTTTATGTGTTCATGTGCCCATTCGTCTACTTTGCAACTGGTGTTCAGTGCGGCAGGAGAAAGCAAGACGCCTATTCCTTTCAATTTCCCACGATGGGGACTGGAGGTACGTTATGCTGTTATGCTGCTCACTCTCCCTCACCCCACCCTCTCTCTCTATCTCTCTTTTTCACTCACTCTTTTTCACTCAATCTGTCTCTTTTTCTGTCTCTCTCTCTCTATATATTTATCTCTCTTTCTCAACCCTCTCTGTCTCTCTCTCTCTCTCTCTCTCTCTCTCTCTCTCTCTCTCTCTCTCTCTCTCTCTCTCTCTCTCTCTCTCTCTCTCTCTCTCTCTCTCTCTCTCCCTCTATCTCTCTCTCTCTCGTCCTCTCTTTGTGTCTCTGTCTCTGTCTCTCTCTCTATCCCTCTCTCTTTTTCTCTCTCTCAACACTACTAATCAGGGACCCACATCATCATGTTTGTGTGTGTGTGTGTGTGTGTGTGTGTGTGTGCGTCCCATATGGTGCAGTGGTATGTGCAGCGATTTCCAATCGATAGGTTGCGGGTTCGATTCCCGACGATTATGGTCACACACGTCTTTCTTCTCTTTCTCAGACTCTTCCTGACTTTTCTTTCATTCTCTTGGGTGGTTACCAACAGCCAGTGTATGCCGGAGTATGTGGTGTGGTGTGTGTGTAGAAAAAGAAAAAAAAAAAGAAAAAAATGGAAAATGAAAAATAGGGATTCACTGGCCAGAAAAAGTCACTTCAAACAGCTGTGTGGTGGATACCAGGCTAAAAATAGTGGCGGTCAATTCATCAGCCTTGCAAGCTGTTGAATGGTGTAATCCCAGCACAAGTTGCTATGTCTAACATAGCTGTTCGCTATCATCGCTCCCGCGATGGGCATGTCTGAGGTCTGAGGTGTGTGTGCGTACGCGCGCGTTTGGTTACACTCTAACAAACTAGTGAATGATTGGCAAATTCAGCTCTGCACATAGAAAACCCCCGGGGAATCGCCTCACAAGCCTTTGAAAGAGACTCGTTATCCACACCACACACATCGCCCCTACTCCCCTTTGTCTTGTTGTCCAGTGTCATTTCAGTTGTCCTCTTCCCCTGAGTATTAGTAGGGCTGTGTTTTCTTGTAAAAAAATATAAAATGAACACCAAAGACATACCCGCCACTGCATACTTGCTAGGTCCACCGTGACCCTATACGGGTACATGGAAAGAGGTGTGCATGCAGCCCTTGCGATGTACATACACACCGTTTTTCTTTTTCTTTTTAAATATGTTCTCATTTCCAGCCCAAAAAAAAAAGAAAAAAGAGAGACAATGGTACTGAAACTAGGAAAAACGTGACATCTACTGAGCAGGGGCTGAGCAGGGGCTAGCAGTGATGGTGGGGCATTGAACTTGTTGGTCAGTTGTTTTTGTTTGTTTGAAGTTTTATTTTTACATCGTAAACCAAACGGGCACTGATACCCAATATTATGATGGCGATAGAATAGAAAGTGTGGCTCGATAAAGCTGCACTTGGGAAAATGAGAAAACAGTCAATAGGAAGTGTATGGACCGGCAATTACAAGTCAAGTTCGAACGAATTAACAATCAGAGAGAAATAGGATTTTCAGTACCACATGGCCATTGGCGTCGGTATATTGCATGCGTATAAGCAACTCTGTAACGCCATTCGTTCCTCAATCTTCATTGGATTTGGCCTACGCGAAGACTAGCCAAGCGTGCTTGGTGATGTAATAAGCGAAAAATGCCGATGACAATAATAGTTACTATTTTGATGCGATCAGTCGAAATCAGTGGTTCAAAGGTAAGTGCAGGTACACTATCATGATGTCGGAGAGCTACGCCTAGGTCACATACAGTGGGTTTGGGGTGCAATCGTCGTTTAGCTGTTTCAGATCACTATTGAAATTATAAAATAGCTATGCTATGAATAGGATGAAGGCCGCAGACATCACGCAACTACGTTACTTGTTCGACATGTATGTGTGTTTTATAAGAATAGTATTATTGAAACCCAGAATCGATTTTCTCGTTCCTATCATCAGTGGGAAATTAGTAGATTATTTGTATTGAAATTATATTCATTATATTTATTACAGCGAAAAATAGCTGTAAATTATACTTCAAAGGCAGACGATCACCTCCTATTGTTTGGCATCTTCCTAATGACCATCTAAATACATGGCACGGTCACCATGACTTTTATGTTGTCTTTTTTTGTGTGTTCATGAAGGTACACGTAGAGCCGTGCAAAGACTCAGCCACACCATGCTGCTAGCCCTCGTGCTGGCTGTTGTACTTTGCTGCAGCAGCAGTAGAGCCTGGCCCATTGCATGCCTGCGAAGGAACGTGTTCGTTCCACTCAGAGAGGTCTTCCAGTACGATTGCTCTTCTCGCGGCTACGCATCGTTTCCACCTATTCCACAAAGCGACAGGGAGCAAACATACATTTTGTAAGTTATTTTCATTATTCACCGTGGGGATGGCAGTCTGGATGGCAGTCATGAGTCCGTCAAGTCAGAATTCAAGTCGGCAAGAAAATCGCGAGCTCCCATGTAGGGAGCAACGCACTCTTCCACCGTAGGGATAGTAGCCGTAAAATAGCTAGGGACAAAATTGAACTCACGCTCATGTCAAACAACAAAGTAGCAAACGTTCTGGAACTGAACCTTTGCTACTTTTGTTGTTTGACATGAGCGGGAGGTTATTCTTTTTCATAGCTATTGTAAGTCATTTTCCCCTTATGTTTCTTGAACATTTGAAGCATAGTTTCTAGGCAGCGTTGTCTCTACTTGTTAGCATGGATTCACAGGAGGTGTGGGTTCGCAGTCTGAGGAATAGGGCCACTGTTGAGATAACAGCTGCACCATAGCACAGTGGGTAGAGCATCGCTGGCCATAAGAGAATATCTCCGGTTCGAGACCTGTTGGTGGCAGTCATTATTTTCAGACGGTTACCACCTCTTTCTTTGGAACAGTTGATTATTGGCAACGCTTTGAATGCTTGTGGATGTGTATGCGTGCGTCAATGTCAATGAGTAGATCCTCATGAGTCGATGTGCACCTTCTCAATTTCAACTTGACAAATCTTTGCATACACTGATATGATCGTGTGTTTCTCGCTTGCAGGCATTTGGAAAACAACCAGCTGCACATCAGTGATAGCCAGGCATTCGCTCATTTCAACATTCTCTACAATCTGTAAGTTTTCCAGGAGCCAACTTTCACTGTAGTGTTCCATACGCAGTTCAGGATATCTCTATCAAAGAATCCCTTCGCGCCAATCATATTTTGAATTTATTTTTTTGTCTACATGACTCTCTCTGTCCCTCTGTCTCTCTTCCTGTCTGACTGTGTTTCTCTCTCTATGTCTCTCTGTGTCTCTGTGTCTCTGTGTCTCTGTGTCTCTCTGTCTCTGTGTCTCTCTGTGTCTCTGTGTCTCGGTCTATCCGTGTCTCTGTCTCTCTCTGTGTCTCTCTGTCTCAGTCTCTCTCTGTCTGTCTCTCTGTCTCTGTCTCTCTCTCTCTCTGTCTCTCTCTCTGTCTCTCTGTGTCTCTCTGTGTCTCTCTCTGTCTCTGTCTCTCTCTCTCTGTCTCTGTCTCTGTCTGTCTCTCTCTCTCCTCTTCTCTCTCTCTCTCTCTCTCTCTCTCTCTCTCTCTCTCTCTCTCTCTCTCTCTCTCTCTCTCTCTCTCTCTCTCTCTCTCTCTCTCTCTCTCTCTCTCTCTCTCTCTCTCTCTCTCTCTCTCTCTCTCTCTCTCTCTCTCTCTCTCTCTCTCTCTCTCTCTCTCTCTCTCTATCCATCTCTCTCCCCCTTCTCTCTCTTTTTCTCTCTCCCTCTCTCTCCCTCTCTTCAGCCCTCTTTTTCTTTCTCTCTCTGTATCTCTGTCTCTCTGTCCTTTTCTTTGTCTCTGCCTCTCTCCGCCTCTCTCTGTTTGTCTGCCTCTATCAGTCTCTCTCTCTCTATCTATCTCTCTGGCCGTCTCCCTCTATACCTTTCTCCCTCCTCTGTTCCTTCTTTCTGGCTCTGTTTTTCTTCTGTTCATATCCAAATTCTTTCTGGTTGTGTGTGTATACTTTATTTATAGTGGAAAATCAAAACAGGCAAAATGCCTAATAACATTGGACCCACTGTGAATAACATGTTAAAGGATATTGTGGAGAAAAAAAGAAAAAAAAAGGTTCTGGTTGTGTCTCTCTTTCTGTTGTTGCGCAGATACATGTCAAATAGCGAGATTCCACATTTGATGGACGGTTTATTTGACCCATTAGTCAAACTCCATTCCTTGTAAGTCACTTATATGGTCGCGAACTGTTTCCATCGAACCACAATGTGTAACCGGATATTAAGATACTCGGGATGCTTTTAACGTGCGCTGGAACCGGTGGACAGAGGTGATGGAATCCATACGGGGTCCTTTTTGAAAATGTTTTCAATGAGTGATGTGTCGCTTTGTTTTGCTCTAATTGGTGCTTTTCCCCAATGTCATGCAGTCGTATTTATTCAGCTTTTATTTCTTGTGTACTTGCATACTGGTATTAGTTTAGTCCCACAATCTGCGATAAAATGATCAGCTGTAGCACCTACTCCACTTTTATGTTAATGTATCTATGTCATTCGGATCTTCCCAAGTTGTACATTGTACTGTTGAGATACCGAATTCAAATAAATCAATACCAAAAGATACGCGGCTATGACGCAACCACTTTCTTCTTTTCGTGACACGACCAGAGAACACGTATACACAAACACCTAAACATACCAATAACACACACGCACAAACATTCTTTCATTCCCATCACGGGTAGAAATTACACCAGTATGCTATGTCGAACCGTATCATATCGAGAAATTTTAATGGACTTTAAATCGCCGGAGGACGTACCCAGTGTGCTGACAGTGCTCAACACCGCAGAGGCAGAGCGTAATACAGAACAACAGGGAGCAGCAAGCAAGCAGCAAACCAGCGGCAAACAAGCCTTGATTGTCCTTGTTGTTCCGTTCTGTTCTGGACTTTAAATCAAAAAGGTTCAAACACAAGTTGTCTGACAAAACCAGAAAACGGTGGGCTAACCCATCTCGCATTTGGTTTAACCCCCTCCTCACGAGGATCGACGTCCGCTATCCATGGAAACCTTTTTTGGGTTCGTTTTCCTTAGTGTGATAGGTGATGGTCTTGGTTAGAACAACCCTAGCACCGCTAACATGCGCTCTATCCTTCTAATAGTGTGTGCATGTATATGTTTATTTGTGCGTGCGTGCGTGTGTGCGTGCGTGCGTGTTTCTGTGTATGTGGGCTTGTGTGCGGATGGCAAGGTATGTTTCTTTTGTGTGCGCGTGAGTCTAATTTGCTGACCGAAGTTCTATCACTACTGTCCCCACGCACTCCCTTTGATTACAGTAACACCTTGTTTAACGCGACCACCCCACGGTGCAAGCAAAAGCGGTCGTTAAAGCCAGGTGGTCTTTAGAACCAGGTCCCACAGTGCCTGTGTAGAACTGTCGGTGCATGAAAGAAACGGTCGTTAAGAGCAGGTGGTCGCTAAACTCAGAGGTCGCTTACACCAGGTTTTACTGTACAATTCTGGCAGGAGTGTCTACATCAAACAATTCGAGGAATGGGTTTGTTCTTTTTTTCTGGTTGTTCTTCCTTGTGCTGTTCAGAGATCTGTCCAAAAGTCAAATACAAACCGTAGGACCAAACGTTTTCGCCAATCTTCACCATCTTGTACAATTGTAAGTAGCAGGTCCTTTCAAGTGTATAAGTAGGCGGTATGAGTATTAAAAAAATTAATATTGGGCTCTCCCCTGCACCTTCAGGAAAATTCCCCAAGGAATTTTATAATATGTCTATGCTAAGTGAAGACTCATTACTCTTACACAATCGAACTTAGATCATTCTTCATCACGCTATGCATAGATTGTGTCCGTTTCTGAAATGCTGTAACTCAGGCTCTTCGTCGATTGACGTGACGCTTGTACAAAGAAGGTTGAGAAACACTGCGAGTAACTCTTTTTTGTGTAAAGGCTTAGTGGCAGGCAGTTGAATGGTTCAGTAATCCTTCTCAGTTTGCGTGTAGTTATTGCCCAACCACGCCGTTCATTTACAATTGTTTCCTTTCAGGAATATGTCTGGCAACAAAATACAATTGCTGCCGCCTAACGTGTTTCGGGGCCTGTCTTATTCTGCGTAAGTGATCAATGTTTGTTGGACCTAGGTCAGTCCCGGCGTTTCCAATTGCTTACGATGTTTTTGCCTTTTTTCTTTCAGAGAACCTTGGTAGTTCTTGTGAATTGCACTAGGCTCCAATACTAGCCTCTACTTGTTCTTTGTCCATCATCCATTCCCTTTTCTATGAATCACACTCAAGGCTCTTCTTACTCAGGTGATGTGCATCTAGTATACCTTCGAAACAGTTCTGTGACAAATGGGACATGAAATTGGACGAAATACTGGGAGAAGCATGTTATGGTCCGTTGGTCAATTTACAGTTCATCGAGGCAAAATAAGACGTATTGGGTCGTTGGTAGGGGGTTGGGGACGTTGAGGTAGTTAGTACAGCGGTATTGAGACAGTCTACTGGGCCGGCATGCTCCTACATCCTCTTGGCAATACTTTTCAATTTGTATCCGGGCTACATAAATCAGTGAAGAACGTCGACGCATGATAAGATAGAATGACCGCACACTATACCGTATTCATTGAAATTTGAAAATAAACTTTCAAAGAAAAAAGTCAGCGGATGTTTCTATCAAGGCCAATCCAGAACTTTTTTTAACTTAATGGATTCGTGAAGCCCACCGCAGAGCCCGCTTGGAGAGCGGTGCTAAGATGTATGGTTAGTCTAAGAGTGGTATGCAGAGAAACATTACTAACACTTTTTTGTGTCAGGACGTCGAATGTCTCAGTACTCTTGTCAGTTTTGTGCCTAGTTGTTGCACTTTCTGACTGTATAATAGACTAATAGACTTTAATAGTATCTAGTTACAGTGGTGGAGAGTTACTCTTAACTCATTTCCATATGTCCTTTTCCTTTCTACTTTTATTATTGGCTCAATACCGGAGTTTCAAACTCTTTCTTAAGGGGGCACATCACCCAAAAATTCGCTGAAAAATCGAATTTGTAAATTCATATTGAGTGCTACGTCAGTTGAAAGAGCATGAATAGCTGCAAATTCTCTGAAAACTGTGTCCCTATCTGACCAGCCGTTCAAGAGTTATGGCCGAAAATGTGCCCTTGCAAGGAAAGATTTTTTTGTTGCATGCTGTCATTTGTTGGCAGCACTGTATTTGAATGTGAGCAGACCGTGCGCAACTTGTCGTATTATGGAAACACGCGAAAGTGTGCAGAATTTTGCCCCAAGTCCAAAAAAGTCCAAAAAATCACGTTAAAAAACCACGTATTGGGCTGCACGGCGGCGGGCGAAGCCCGCCGCCGTGCAGCAGGACTTTTGCCAGCACCCTCGTGACGTTGCAGATATGTGGCTTGATTATTGTAGTTGACGTTGATTTAGTGACTTTGGCAAGTTTGAGTCGTGTCAAGAAGTCAGGTAGGATTCAGTACTAGGCAGTAGTGAAACGTGAGTGGCAGTCTTTGCCGGTTTCTGAGGGCATCCTGGATTTGGTTTGCAGCGCTGTGGAAATGGCTTGCTGTGGAGGTCCCAGCACTGGATGTTGTATCAAAGGTACGACCTCGTAGCACGTGCCAAACCTAAAAAAATTCAAAAATTGCCTTGGGTCTGTGGGAGTCCGTGAAAGAACGCCCACTCGTTCCGTTGTGACAGATTCCAGGGCCACGTTGAGGGGCCCTACCCCACCACCCATGGCTGCTTCTGGACTAGTTTTAGGTTTGGGTCCCGCGCACGGACAGAATGGGCACGAAAATGTGAAAAAAATGTAAATGCATTTGTTTGGCTCCTGGGTGGCTCGCACACCGTAGCACTATGCCGGAAATTTGAGTTTTTCCGGCCTGGAAAGCCTGTCAGTGAGACGCAAGAACTTGTAAATCATGTCCTGAGGGCCAGCATAGTGGCAGGAGTGTGTGGTCAAAATTTCACTCAAATCCACTGAGAAACACCAAAGTTACGGTCAATTGAATGCCATATGAAATTTTTGGGTGATGTGCCCCCTTAACCCAATTTGTTTCCTCTCTGTGCAGTGCTATCAATCTTAAAGGCAACCCGCTTGTACAGGACTACAGACTCTGTGGAGCGCTCTACAACCAATACACGCCGCATTTGTACTTGCTTGACACGGATGTTGTAGCGAATTTGGGGTCTGGGTCCTTCCCACAAGCAGCAATCAGTGGTGAGTGCTAAGAAGCAAGAGTACAAACCCAGGAAAACGGGAGTTAGACTCCTTGCTTAAATGCATTCAGTGGATATATTTGAAGATCCGATGCAGTTGAAATCATTCTATATTGACGAAATGCCTTCTTAGTCGCCTTTTACAGCACCTGAACCCTTTTTAAAAATTTTAAAGGACGCTTCACGCAGCTTCATTATTCATGAATAGATTGCAGGCAACCTGCCTACACTCAAGAGAGCACTGTATTTCAAACAAATCCATTACCGGTATCGTTTCAAAGTTTCGGTCTTCATGACCTTCATCAGGAATGAGGTGGACATGGAAAAAACAGCAGTGTGAAAGAAGGAAGCAAGCGCTGTACCTAGTGACAGCACGCGTAGAGAAGTGCAAAGCACGTCGTGACGGGTGCAAAGCATGTCGTGACGGGTGCATTGCTACATTTACATGACAACACAAGCACAAACGGCGAGGAAAGTAGATACTGCGCTACAGCAGTGATACAAGCACCCTTTTTGTTCATGCATTGATAATGTCTCTCCCTTCAATCTGCTTCTCCATCCAGTTAACCATGTGTGCAGTCGACAGTGCAACACTTGGAGACCCGATTTTCTGAAAGTCTGCCCGAATGCGTTCTGCAAAGGAACTGTGGCCAATCATCAATGCTTAACAATGGATTCCCGTAGGTAGTACAGTGCGTAGTGTGCATACCTGTGTACATGTGTGTGTTACTGTGTATGTGTGTGTGTGTGTGTGTGTGTGTGTGTGTGTGTGTGTGTGTGTGTGTGTGTGTGTGTGTGTGTGTGTGTGTGTGTGTGTGTGTGTGTGTGTGCGTGTCCAAACTCGGAGGCGACTTCATCCAAGCCGACATCCGGAGGCTCTCCACGTTCTACATGCAGTGTCTGCGTACCGTTCTTGGCATAACAAGGTTAGACGCCTGATAAGAGCGGATCAGCAATGATCAGTTGCTGGAAATGTGGGGCGACAAGCGCCCACTTGCTGTCCGGATTCGCCAGCGACGACTTGAGTGGCTGGGTCATGTTGCTCGCATGCCACCAGAGCGCATCCCGAAGATTCTGTTGTTCGGTCTGCTCCCATCCCGCCGTCCACCTGGCGGTCCACGCAAACGCTGGAAGGACTGCATTAGTGCAGACCTGAAGGCCCTGAATGCTGTGGAGGGATGTTACGATCTGGCAGATTCTCGCCCCGACTGGCGCCGCATGTACCGCTGTTTCGAGCCCGAACCGCCCACACCCAATGTCCATTGCCAAGTATGTGATCGGTACTTCTCTCGCCCATCAGATGAGAAGCGTCACAAATGCTTGGCAGAACGGCAGAAACCAGTGTGCAATCAGGCTGGCGCTTGCCAATGTCGTCTCTGCCAACGTTGGCTCCGCAGTCCCAGTGGATTGGCTACCCATCGGTGCGATCACGGACCTGCTCCCAACATCGAGCACCCCGGCAACCCGGTCACTCCGCAGTGCAGCACCTGCCACCGGAGTTTCAAGTCCAGCAGCGGCTTGGCCAGACACAAGTGCGACCGCACGAAACGTAGGACAGTGTCGGAAAGGGCCGACTTCCCGTTTGAGTGCCCTTGCCAAAGGAAGTTCCGACTACGTCACCATCTAGTGCGCCATCAGGAGTGCTGCTCCTCAGCCTCTTCCACCCCTCTCACCTGACGGGGACCGTGTAACCTATCAAGGCAACGTGTATCAAGGTCAAGGTCAATGTGTGCGTGTGTGTGTGTGTGTTTGTGTGGGACGGTGCCCTCCAAACTCTGGCCCCCTCCGGGGGTGACATTGCCCAATGGGCAGTCATGCTATAGTAGTAGTAGTAGTGTTTGTGTGTGTGTGTGTGTGTGTGGAAAAATGAAAAATAGGGATTCACTGGCCAGAAAAGTCACTTCAAACAGCTGTGTGGTAGATACCAGGCTAAAAATGGTGGCGGTCAATTCATCAGCCTTGCAAGCTGTTTAATGGTGTAATCCCAGCACAAGTTGCTATATCTAAAACATAGCTGTTCGCTATCATCGCTCCCGCGATGGGCATGTCTGAGGTCTGAGGTGTGTGTGTGTGTGTGTGTGTGTGTGTGTGTGTGTGTGTGTGTGTGTGTGTTGCGACCCAGACTGAGACTGTACTCCCACTAATCGATCCTTCACATATGGTAGATATGTCGATTGATTGCGTTCAAGTGTTTCTCTTCCAAAAGAACACTTTTGTTGAATACGGTAACTCCTTGAAAAGTCATGTCTTAAAGTTACGAAGTTTTGGTTTCCAGAGGAAGTATAATTATGATAACATAGGAGGAGAAAGTGAGCGCAACCACGAGAAAGGAATTTCAGTGCCGTCGGTCAGTATCGTGCAATGTTATCGCATGAGCTGATTGTTTAGTAACTGGTGGACCACCCCTTGGAGCCAGAGCAAGCGGTCTTTAATGGCAGGTGGTCCATAGTTAGAGGTTTGCACCGCACAACCATACTTCTTCATGTATAATTATGAATGTGAGGCCGTCCGTGCCTGGCGAAGTGGTCTGTAGTACCCGGCTGGCCGCTAGTCACGGTGGTCTGTAGTACCAGGCTGGTCGCTAGTCACGGTGGTCTGTAGTACCAGGCTGGTCGCTAGTCACGGTGGTCTGTAGTACCAGGCTGGTCGCTAGTCACGGTGGTCTGTAGTACCAGGCTGGTCGCTAGTCACGGTGGTCTGTAGTACCAGGCTGGTCGCTAGTCACGGTGGTCTGTAGTACCAGGCTGGTCGCTAGTCACGGTGGTCTGTAGTACCAGGCTGGTCGCTAGTCACGGTGGTCTGTAGTACCAGGCTGGTCGCTAGTCATGGCGGTCTGTAGTACCAGGCTGGTCGCTAGTCACGGTGGTCTGTAGTACCAGGCTGGTCGCTAGTCACGGTGGTCTGTAGTACCAGGCTGGTCGCTAGTCACGGTGGTCTTTAGTCACAGGTTTTACTGTAATTTACACTTTTTCTTTTGTCTGTTTTTCTGTATTTTGCCATAAAGATGCGTCGTTGTATGAAGTCTGCCCCAATTCGCTAAACATACTAAGGATGTTCAGCAGCAAAGAAGGAAATTTCTGGGATTCCAGGAACTCGTGTCGCGCAATGGGCGCTAGTACCACACTACCGAGTGAAGACGACTTTCAGAAAGGCTGTGTGGGACGGCTGCTTGCCAAGGTCCGTCAGCAGTACAACCTTGACTACACGCCCGTCGTGTGGCTGGGAGAGCTGTACCTGGGGAGAAATGCTTACGCCAGCGACGGAAAAACTTACCCTCTGGCAACAGGCAAGCTGTATTACATGTGCAGCACGATCCAGTAACACGTGACCTGGGTATTATTCCCCTGCTGTCTATTCTGCCATCGCCTTGGTTACTGCTACATGTACAGTGCTGGTAACTGAAATCCGACCCCTGAGCGGTGCACTCACATCGCAAAGACCCAACACGGGATAGTGAAACTGCGAAATAGAGACCGCTAGAATGTGAACGCATCGCTCACGGGTCGGATTTCAGTTGCCAGCGCTGTATTTTGATCTTCTTTATTTTCAAACATTGCTGTAGAGGTGTTATGGGCACAAAACTATTTGAGTATGTGTTCAACATGTTTAATAATACATGTCTCCTTCATCATAGTTTTCACATTGTTGTTCACAGGTGTGTCGTTTTGCTGTTTCTTTTTCACATTACGGTTGCCAGCCTCTTGTTTGTCTCCACAATCACATGTAGTCTTGCAATTCGGGACAATCATGTCTTTGTTCCGTCTCCGATCCATATGCAGAGGGGTTTGTACCTCGAGGTGGCGCGCCTCGTTGTGATGAAGCCGAGACCCAAGGTCGGCAGAGCATCCCAGACCACGCCACCACTCCCCTTATTCATGGGTCACACATGACGGGTTTACGTGGCTCTAGTAAAAAAGAAAAGAAAAAAAAGGTGCATTGTTAGTTTGATAACCAAATAGAAGTGGACTTCTCGTGATAGAACAATGGAGGGTAGCTGATTCATTTCTTCTGAAAAGTCGCATGCCTTATAAGTCTTCTTTAATAGAGACGTTACTCTTCACGTTTTTTAACATTTCGAACGTGAGATCTCACCGCCAAGATGGCGCTCCTCACGTTACAATGTTAGATTTAAACACGGCAGAGGTCCAACTGACAGCGAAAAAAGGATTTAACGCACGTTTTTTTCTCATCTTTGATATTGGAAAAAAACATGAAGCGTGAACACTTTATCGTCAATTTATCCACACATTGCACTCTACGATTTCTGTGTCTATCATGTAACGTTACTATGGCAACAGCATTACGGTTGCCAGCCTCTTGTTTGTCTCCGCAATCACATGTAGTCTTGCAATTCGGGACAATCATGTCTTTGTTCCGTCTCCGATCCATAATTATGCAGAGGGGTTTGTACCTCGAGGTGGCGCGCCTCGTTGTGATGAAGCCGAGACCCAAGGTCGGCAGAGCATCCCAGACCACGCCACCACTCCCCTTATTCACTGGTCACACATGACGGGTTTACGTGGCTCTAGTAAAAACGAAAAGAAAAAAAGGTGCATTGTAGTTTGATAACCAAATAGAAGTGGACTTCTCGTGATAGAACAATGGAGGGTAGCTGATTCATTTCTTCTGAAAAGTCGCATGCCTTAGAGACGTTACTCTTCACGTTTTTTAACATTTCGAACGTGAGATCTCACCGCCAAGATGGCGCTCCTCACGTTACAATGTTAGATTTAAACACGGCAGAGGTCCAACTGACAGCGAAAAAAAGGATTTAACGCACGTTTTTTTCTCATGTTTGATATTGGAAAAAAACATGAAGCGTGAACACTTTATCGTCAATTTATCCACATATTGCACTCTACGATTTCTGTGTCTATCATGTAACGTTACTATGGCAAAAGCACGGCCTGCATCTGTCGGGAACAGTTGGTTGACTGAGGGCCTGGCTCCCATCACCATGGCTACTTCATGTTTCCATTGTGTGCACCACATGGCTTTTAGTAAAAAATAAAACATTCTGTGACCAGTGCAATTCTTTTTCAAATAGCCAAACACAGGGAGGTCAGAAGTCAGCCTGTTGCCCGTGTCAAATTATTTTTTTCCCCATAGACTGCCTGGAACCTAATTTTGAATTTGAATCGGTGCAACTTTGCCCACAGGTGACGCAATCAGGGAAAATCCCAAACGTTCACTAGAGTATCGCCCTCTGAGCGCAAATATCTGGGGACCAAAATTACGAGCATGTTGTAGCCGAGGGCTTGGTGTATTGCGAGTTGAAGGTGTAGTGAAGAGAATAGTTGCCTGATGATTGCGAGAGCATGAAACTTGAAGTAGCAGCATGCAAGCAAGCCTTGAATGTCCTTGTTGTTCTCTTATGTAGTGAAGTGAATAGAAACGTCTCGAATTTTTACTCGTTGATGACATCTGCATTGGCTTCGTGCATTCATACAGTGCTGGCAACTGAAATCCGCCCCTTTAGCAATGCGTGCACATTCTAGTGGTCTCATTATACTATCCCGTGTTGGGTTTTTGCGATGTGAGCGCACCGCTCAGGGGTCGGATTTCAGTTGCTAGCACTGTAGTAGTATTATTATTATAATATAGTGAAACCTGTCAAGGCGACCACTCGGATAAGGCGACCACCTGTCCTACAAGACCACTGGAACCAGGACCAACGGCTAGGGATGCTATTTCCAGTCAAATGACCCTGGATAAGGAGACCACCTGGTAACAAAGACCACGTTTCGAAGGCCCCTTGAGCGGTCGTCTTAGACAGGTTCCACTGTACAAATGAAAACCATGAACAGACTGTCCCGAAGTTATTTTGGGAACAAATTGTACTACTTGCTGACACTGACGCTGACGGAACACAAACTTGAGTTGAATGCGCACGAAGTCTTTTACATCATTATGCGCCGGTGTTGTGGAGTAAGCAGCAGGTATGCCAGTCACCAATCCAGCTTCAGCTCCGCTTCTTTAGTAGCACTGTACTAGTAATAAAACAGAGAGGTTCCAGCCTCTACAATAGAGTACTCAATACGCGTGCAGACACCAACTCGAGCAGTGCACTAGCAGGACTCCGCAACAGCACGTAAGTTCCCACTTGTGACACATGATTTCAAGCTTGTACGTCTCCGCGAACCTCTCGTGGACCCGTTCAGTGAAACAATAACCAACTACATTGTACTAGTCTGCAGTGTCTAAACTAAGTTACTTTCGACAGCAAACAGCTCTTACGTACATGTATGAACAATAAGCCTCTGAGCGGAACTCACTCTTTTGACGTCCCTGATTGATCTGTATCATGCACCATACGTCATTGGTTCTTGCCAAGATGCAGGTAGATGTAGCACCGGCTCTTAAGATTAGAAATGAACCGAACTGCACGTCCATTCACCACCTATTATGTGGTGCTACCTCTGCACCATGGGCGGTGCTTCGGCTTACTTGCACTCTTAAAGCTCGTAGCTGTGCTGATGAGGCCACGGGGGCCAACACAGCTTGCTATTTACAGCATTGAGTGATATTGCACATACACCTCATGGACAGGCTAGCGCTAATAGGATTTTCGGTCTTCCAGATCACAGCTTGACACCACAAAATCGAGGTGTTTCGTACATAGAATATTCTTGAATATTCTATACATTGTACACATGTAGTCAATCTAGATTATTCTTGAATCTCCCTTGCTTCGGCCACAGGCCCATTAGGCTGGTTTGGTTCTCGCCAAAGCTGGTTCGGAATTTGGCGTTGTAGGCGAACTGAAGACAATGGTTCTATCCGGAACGCTACTATGGTGACTCCAGGTACAATAATCATTATGCTGTTATACCTGCTGACGTTATCCATCTCTCTCTCTCTCTCTCTCTCTCTCTCTCTCTCTCTCTCTCTCTCTCTCTCTCTCTCTCTCTCTCTCTCTCTCTCTCTCTCTCTCTCTCTCTCTCTCTCTCTCTCTCTCTCTCTCTCTCTCTCTCTCTCTCTCTCTCTCTCTCTCTCTCTCTCTCTCTCTCTCTCTCTCTCTCTCTCTCTCTCTCTCTCTCTCTCTCTCTCTCTCTCTCTCTCTCTCTCTCTCTCTCTCTCTCTCTCTCTCTCTCTCTCTCTCTCTCTCTCTCTCTCTCTCTCTCTCTCTCTCTCTCTCTCTCTATCTATCTATCTTCTCTTCTTCTCCCCCCCCCCTCTCCCGATAATTATAAGCCCCCGTTTTCTTTCGACGCGTTTGCTGTGCAGTGAAGCCGAGACCCTAGGTCGGTGGAGCACATCAGACCCCGTCACCACGTCCACGATTCATGCCTGCGATGCTGCACCGCTGCTTTGCATGTCATGATTGGAAGCTGTGGCCTAAGTAAAAAAAAAAAAAACTCTGAACCACACCTACAGTGCTGGCAACTGAAATCCGCCCCCTTAGCGATGCGTTCGCATTCTAGCGGTCTCAATTTCGTAGTTTTACCATCCCATGTTGGGTCTTTGCGATGTAAGCGCACCGCTGAGGGGTCGGATTTCAGTTGCCAGCAGTGTACATGCACACACGTGCAACAAAAGACACACATAAACACACAGAAAACGGTGCAGCGCCTGCTCATTAGTTGTCACGTTTGTCCTAGTCTCTGTACCATTGTCTTTCCTTCTTCTTTTCGAGCTGGTTATGTGAACATAGTAAAAAATAAAATAAAATAAACCCTGAATGTGGCTGAAAACAAGGTGTGAACAGTGGTGGGACTAAAAGAGAGATGCGATTCTGTCAAACTGCACTTACGCTACAACATTGCACTGAATTGTATAACAATGGCGTGATCAGGCACCCATGACAACAAGACAGAACAGTGGCAACAGTGACAGTGATCAACATCCAAACGTTCACGTTGTCAATTGTCAAGCAGCACCCAACCACGATCATTGTTCACCTTCGGATGGCGTCTGGATATGTGGATGGCCTCCTTTATCCGGCAGGTTCACGAGGTGACAACAGTTAACTGATTGCAAGAATAAAAACCAGCTGAAGTGTCATTTCAGAAATGTTTTATTGAGATGCCACTAGCAAATTCTAGAGAACGTTGTGATGAACGAAGAAATGACTATGGTGAAAATGTAATGTCAAGAACAATAATAGTCTTATAAACAGTAATAGACAACAACAATAGGAACAATGAAAATATACAGAACCGAGCTGCCAGGGCAGTGTTTGGCCAGCCACCCTGCTCTCATGTTCAACCCCTCCTGACCAGCTTACAGCTCTACAGCACAAGCAAGAAGCCGAGGTTTGTGTGGCTCTGCCAGCACAATCACGCCAACCCAGCCCTCCAGGACAAGTTTCAAAGTGCTCCTGGAAACACCACCTGCCTCCAGCAAGGAGAGGGTTTGAGCCTCCCGCTAGCCCGGTCAGCAGCAGGGACATCCTCCTTCATTCACCCTTTTTCTTAACTTAATTAACCCCATTATCAAATTCGCTTCCATGTAATTCGGCTTGTAGCCAGTGTGTACTTGCGAATTCAAAAATATATTATTCATTATTTAAAAAATTTAATTTTTTTTCCCGTTTGTCTCTTTCCCTCAAACTGGTGAAGACATTCTACCCAAAGGCACACAATGAAAAACCTTGGCATATTAATTCCGTTGTGACTCGGAGTTTCATGGCTGAACAAATCATCAGCCAACGTTGTCTGATGATTGATTCAGCCATGAAACTCTGAGTCACAACGGAATTAATTTGCCAAGGTTTTTCATTGTGTGCCTTTGTGTACGCCGCTCTGCCTGAATCAGTCATTCAGCACTCTTGCAGAACCAAAGCATATTGCCTCTGTACATACATTTACCGTAAACTCATAGAACTAGTTTTCGCTCAACGCTTATCAGGAAGCATCGTTCTGCAGATTAAAACGAATTGCAACACATACCATTATATTACGGAAATTAAGTGATGAATAACACCTAAACAATGCTCTTTCATCCACTGTGTGTTCTTTGAATAGTTTGCAGGCAACCTGCCTACACTCAAGAGAGCACTGCATTCCACAAAAATCCATTAGAAGTATGGTTTCAACGTTTCAGTCTTCTTGGCCATCATCAGGGATGTGTTTTTATTTTGCCCCTAAACAATGTCAGTTAAACGTTCGAGAAATGACGCTTCAGCTGGCTCTGTTTCCTGCAATCCTTGAAATGAATGCAGTGTTCGCAAATGTAATGAAGAGCTAATTTTTGCCAGCTAGCTGGCCTCTGCGTACACCGCAGACGCACCAACACACAACAGAAAGATACAGTTCACAGTAGTAGTGTGGTCTTTGTTCACTCACGATGGTCAATATACTATGCATAGCAGCACAACACATTGGCAACATCATGTACATGTAGGCAAAGATGAGCACATTCATGAACAGCAGTGCGGGAACAATGATGACGCACAATACTGATGTGACATCAAACCAGCTAGAACAAATGCAAGACTGTATTGCAATTTCACATCTATGTCTTTGTCCGCACATATAAAAGGGGCGAAAAGAGCACAAAGATAAGTGTGTTTCCAGCTTCAGCAAGGCTTTTAAAATCACATTCAGTCTCCTTTAACGCCGCACAAGTAGTAAATTCTTCGCGTTTGCGGCCAATAGGTGAGCCTGTTACTGGCAAAGGCAGTAATATCACCCTTCCAGTGGTAAAATTGCTCCAGCCACACGACGGGTGTGTAGTCAAGGTTGTACTGCTGACGTACCTTGGCAAGCAGCCGCTGTACACAACCGTACTTAAAATCATACGCTGTTGGCAGATCGCCCTGCAGTGTTGCGGCACACAAGTCCTTCGACTGCCAGTAATTCGACTCAACACTGCTGAACATCTGGAGAGTGCGTCCAGTCTGGGGACAATCTTCAGTGACGGCCGAGTCTTGATTGCGAATACAGGAAACGCACACACGACACAGCAACGAAAGCTAATGCTTCTAGTCCAAAATGGAGGTACTCAGAAGGAGTCTTATTATCTGTTGCGGGGATACGGTAAATGTGCGTGTGTGTGTTTTTGTGTGAGTGCGTGTGTGTATGTGTATGTATGTGTGTGCGGGGTGTGTACTCGTACAATCTAATCTATATGGTTGTTCCGTGCAGGGAGATCAGGGCATAACAAGACACATAGCAGGTAGGATTTCCTGTAATAAGGGCATGCCTGTTGGGATTCTCTATTCAAATAGTAAAATACTACTCCTACTTCAACTACTGCAGTGAAATGATCGATCATTATGACTTTTACAAATATGTATGAGCAGATTTGCGTGCTGGCAATCATTTTGGAAATTCCTGCACATTGTGCACTAAGGTGCTGCTTGTGGTTCTCTTAACTTGTTCACATTCCCATAGCATTCTACGACTTACCGTGATCCATGCTGCGGCATGCATGGTTGGCCACAGTTCCCTTGCAGAAGGCGTCCGGGCACACTTTCAAGTAGTCTGGTCTCCAGGTGTTGCACTGTCGACCGCACACCTGATTAACTGGATAAACACATAAGTTCAAGCGTGAGAACTTGCAACAGGTCATGAAATAAGGGATGGTGCAATGGTCTTAATGCCACTGCAGGACACATTCAAACAGAATGTAAGGAGCAAGAAGTTACTAGTACGAAGTATTATTAAGAGTCCACCAAGGCAACGGGGTACTGTACAGTCAAGTAGTGCGACAACAAGGCACAAAATTGATAAGGATATTACGACAATCAACGGCACTTAGCTCTCACGCATCTACGAAGCGCAAACCAATAATCTTGCATTACAAGTTATTGATCTTTTTTTTCATCGTTTGTTCAAAGCTCCTTTTTGGGATTTCCATTTTCTCTTGACATTTTCAGCTGTTGCCTCCCCGGCAGCAATGTAATCTGTGCAGTGTTGTGCTAGGTGTCTGTGTGCAAGTGTGTGTGTGGGTGTGTGTGTGTGTGTGTGTGTGTATATAATATATACATACACACACATATGTGTGTTTGTGTGTGTGTCCTAGGGTCCACGCAAGCGGTGGCGTGACGTCATCGTGGATGATCTCCGCTCCATCAGCCCCCCTGTGCCTTCTGAGTGCTGGTTTGATGCTGCCCAGGATCGCTCTGCCTGGAGGCAGATTGCTCATCGTTGTCGGACCGCTGGTGCTCCTCCTGATCCTGACTCTGGCTTCCGCTGCGCATGTGGAAAGGTCTGCCGTCATCCCGGGGATCTCAAGTGCCACACTTCGTACTGCAAAGCTAGCAGATAGTCCCTTCGCTATCATTGCCATCGGCAATGGGCACGTTCAAGGTTCAAGGTGTATGTGTGTGTGTGTGTGTGTGTGTGTGTGTGTGTGTGTGTGTGTGTGTGTGTGTGTGTGTGCATGTGTGTGGTGTGTGTGTGTGTGTGTGTGTGTGTGTGTGCATGGTGTGTGGGTGTGTGTGTGCGTGTGCGTGTGTGTGTGTATGTGTGTGTGTGTGTTTGTGTGTGTGTGTGTGTGTATGTGTGTATGCGTGTGTGTAAAATATTTTGCCGAGAGGAAGCAGATTTGTTAGCCCCTGGTTTTCTCTTTGTTTGCCTCCCCCACGGGGCGGCCCTGGCCTTCTGGTCAGGGTCGTCTCAAGGTATTGACTGGCAGTAGGCTTTTCATGCCTTGCAGCCGGTTTGTCGCGAGCGTGCGCGTGCGCGGAAGGACATTTATTGAGCTGACGACCAGGGCGGGTTGTTTGTTGCCGTCACCGTCTTCTTGCGTCCTTTCCGCATCCTCCGCAGTGGTGTGGCGAGCCCTCGGATCAACCCCCAGCCAAAAACAGTGCAGTGGCGTTCGGCAAAGCAAGTGGACTCCTGGGTGAGAAAGGAAACAGGTCAGACTCGCAGAAATTTCTTCCTGCGCGGTGTATCGCTGGTATGGCGAATTTGTCCTTGGCTGTGTTGTTTGGACCTGAGTGGACAGTCGTCGTGCGGCGATGGTGTAGTGTTATTAGCTTGCTGTGCACACTCCTCATCGCTTGTGAAAGTACGTTTTGTGGAGCCCTTGTGGGACGTTAGATGCCCTCCCTCCAGCTCAAGATTGTGTTTTCCTGATTCACGAAGGCCGAAGCAGCATGCGTACAGACGTTTGTTGAACAGAACATCATGTTCACATTTTATTTTTTTATATTGTTCCTGTTTCAGTTGTTGCATTGTATAGTGGACCTGCAGCAGACTGTTCATCTGGTTTGTGATATTTCTTTCCTCCGTTGGCGAGTTCTTTTCCATCAATATGGCAGCTTGTTTTGATTTCCATTTTTTTCAATTCATTCTGCTGTACTTCTTGTTTTGTTTTGCACCACTGCCCCTCACCTTGCGCTCAGTTCTCTGAGTGGAGGGCGGCGTGACCCCACTGGGGTAGCTGATTGATAGTAGTAGTAGTAGTAGTAGTAGTAGTAGTAGTAGTAGTAGTAGTAGTAGTAGTAGTAGTAGTAGTAGTAGTAGTAGTAGTAGTAGTAGTAGTAGTAGTAGTAGTGTGTGTATGTGTGTGTGTATTTGTGTATGTATGTGTGTATGTGTGTCTGTGTGTGTATGTATGTATATGTGTGTGTATGTGTGTGTATGTGTGTATGTGCGTGTATGTGTGTGTATGTGTGTGTATGTGTGTATGTATGTGTATGTGTGTGTGTGTGCGTGTGTGTGTGGATGTGGATATGTGTGTGTGTGTGTGTGTGTGTGTGTGTGTGTGTGTGTGTGTGTGTGTGTGTGTGTGTGTGTGTGTGAGTGTGTGAGTGTGAGTTTGCGTGTGTGTGTACGTGTGTGTACGTGTGTGCATGTGTATGCGTGTGTGTATGTGTGTGTGTGTGTCTGTCTGTTGCTCACTCCATTGACCGTTATGTGACCGGGACTTCCGGTCTGCTTGTAGATTTCAACAGCACAATTGCAAGCGTGGCTCCTTTCACCTCTAGTATTTCAACCTTGGACTTTGACCAACCCACTGTGCCTACCTGGTGCTGGTAGTGCGCACTATAATGTTGAAAGCGTTCCACAAGGTTCGCCACCAGCAACTAGCGGTAGATCTCTTCAGTGTGGGCGTCACTGGAACAGCACTCCAGTGGTGCATGGCATACTAATACCTATCTGATCACTGCCAGAATGGCCAGCTGGTATCCCAGCTTAGCTCAGTGGCAGCATGCTCCCGTGGAGTACCACAGGGGTTGGTATTAGTTCCAGTATTGTTCAGCCTTTACACCAGTTACATACTATCTGTTGCTCTGCAAGCTGAGTCCATACAGTTCGCAGATGACATCGCACTGACCTGCAGTCGCCCAACACAACAGCAACTGACCGCCATTCTCTACAGAGCAGTGACAAGCATTGCTGACTGGCTGAAGCAGCGGGGTTTGATTCTTAGTGCAGCAAAACGTCAGGTATTAGTTGTCCCGGCCGGGCAGCTAGAAGCGCGCACTGAAATGGATATATGGTATCACTGATGGACTAAGCTGCTATCTGTCCCGTCGCCTCGCTACCTTGGAGTCCACATTGACACCGCCATGTACACCCAGATGGATAGGTGCGCTGTCCCACTCAACAAGAAAGTTGGTGTTCTGTGGCGGATGCGCCGCTGTCTCAGAATGCAAAGCCGCATCTAATACTTCAAGTCTGTAATCATGCCCGATTTCTTGTATGGCTCCAATGCCTTCCCAGCATCGTTGGCGGGTAGGCACCTGGACCGTCTCCCAATTCTGCAGAATCGTGTGGCTAGAGCTGTGTACGGATGCTTGCCGCACACCTCTGCCAGAAGCCTGCTTTTACAACTTGGTGCCTACTGTGTCCGAGAGATCTTCATCCAGAAGCTCATCTTCCTGGTTTGGCGCTGATGCTACTCCCGTGCTAGCCCTGCACTGCAAGTGCTGTTGCTGCCAATCAGTGGCGCTCGTCCTAGGCTCCAATCATCTATGGATCTAAGACCACCACCAACCCGAACTGAGCTGGGAGAGGATTGTCTCGCGTTCCAAGGAACTAGGCTCTGGCGTTGCCCAGGGAGGTACGGGCCATACTGCACCTGGCCCAATTTCGCACTGCTGCTATTCCACACAGCATGAACACTTGAGGTCAAACGGATCACTATAGGCATTGTTTCATTATATGCCTGTATGTTGGACTGCCCGCCTGTCTCTCTCCCTGTTTCTCTGACAGCCTGCTTGTTAATTCGTGCGCTTATTCTCAGGCGTAAAGCCCTGTTGTCGAGATCTCAGCCCTCATTGGTTAGACTTTATAAGCATACTGTAAAAGCGGAAAGTCTCGCGATTCACAAAGTCTAACGTTTTAACGACCAATTATTTTCGTTATTTGAAAAATCGTTATCGCTAGATGTCTGTTTAAAGATGCGCATACAGATGGGTGACCAGGTAGCCATCGTTAAACTTTCTGCACCGTAATCATACCAAAATTACAAAAACGTTAAACTTTTTGGTCGCTAGACTTTCCGGTTTTACAGTAACTTTCTCTCTCTCTCTCTCTCTCTCTCTCTCTCTCTCTCTCTCTCTCTCTCTCTCCCTCTCTCTCTCTTTCTCTCCATCTATCTATCTATCTATCTATCTATCTCTCTCTCTCTCTGTCTCACTCTCTGTCTCTCTCTCTCTCTGTTTCTCTCTCTGTCTCTCCCTCTCTCTTCCTCACTTTCTCTCTCTCTCTTTCTCTCTCTCTGTGTCACTCTCTCTGTCACTCTCTCTGTCTCTCTGTCTCTGTGTGTGTCTCTCTCTGTCTCTCTCTGTGTGTCTGTCTGTCTGTCTGTCTCTCTCTCTCTCTCTCTCTCTCTCTCTCTCTCTCTCTCTCTCTCTCTCTCTCTCTCTCTCTTTCTCTCTCTCTCTCTGTCTCTCCCTCTCTCTCTCTGTGCCTCTGGTGCACAAAAACATCTCTTGCGTTGAATGCTTTCTTTCTTTGCTCTCGTAATCCCCCCTATGTACTAGTGTTGTGCAAACCCTTCTTCTAGTCTGTCTCATTTTGTCCAGAGATGTTTTTGATGCATAGTGATAATTACGCTCATCATTCGCTGCCTTGTCATTGGACAGCTATGCCCGTTTGGTTTTAGTGAATTCAAAATATGGAAAAGTAAAAAAAAAGCATTAAGTAGCTGACAAGTGTATTATAGACACAGTATCATGCCATTCCATTACAGTAATAGGTGATTGACACTCACGGAGAAAACTGAGGTCACGGGAGAAGGCAAAAACAAAAATCCAGACCTTCAGTTAACTGAGCGGGGCCGTTCGCACCCGTGGTCAGTTTCCCCCTGGCCGAATGTTTGGCCATGGATTTGTGGCGGGGGAATAATGAAAATCTGTACCGCGTTCTTGTAGTATTATTATGCTTTGCATTTGTCATGCACGATTTTCCAATGGGCCCCATCTGAAAATGCAGGCTGCAATGCACTCTTACAACAAGAGTACATAGTTCTGGCCTTATTAGGCAAGTTTCACTATGTTTTCCTCGACCAGGGTAAACGGTGAGTTCGCTAAAAGCTCGTTTTTTCCGGCAGTCGGGGGCCGGGCCCTGAAAGAAACCATGCAATGTCTGTAACTGCGGATCATGTAGGCTATGATGGGGATTCGGGGAAAGGCCATAGATATGGCATGTGACGTCACAATTTCCACAAATTGAACAAAAGAGAATCATTGATTTCAGGCATTTTGCAGCTTCATCTGAAGAAAATCGTTGGGTGGAAAATTCGATAATATTTTGTGCTGGCGTTAGATGTCTCTTTAACTAACTGTATTCTTTTATTCTTATTGCGCGAGATGATGCATTTTTTGGCGGTAGGACTTTGCTATACAACTGCTCCTTCTTGGCCGGCATGGCATCAGTGTTTCATTCGTACCTGGCAACGGCAATATTGCCGAAACGCTGTACGTAAAATAGTTGAATCGGTCCTTTTGCAGTGCTTCGGGAATGGCTGTTTCCAACTAACTACTTTATGCGGACAAACGAGTAGTAATATTTCCACTGAACCTAGCCTGAAAGGTGCCCGGTAGACAGAAGCGCCCGTAACTTCGGGGCGCGGATAACCACTGCCACGATTCAGGTTGTGCGTGCTTCCCCTGGCTGCATCTCATGTTTGGCATTTAAGTGGTCTTTGTAAAAACAAAAAAACAAAAAAAAAAAAAAAAAACCGGAGCATGAGTGTACAGTTGAAAAGCAGCTTACCACTTATGCCGGTAGTGGGACCTGCGGCGCTTGAATCTGTTGTCCCGACAAAGATGGCCGGAGGGTTTGCACTGCCAAACTTCTCCTGGACGTCATCGTCGACGTAGTACGTAATCTCCGTGCCCTTGTTGTAGAGCGCTGTACAGAGTCTATAGTCCTGTGTGAGCGGGTTGCCGGTGAGTGATACATCACTGGGCCAAAAAAATAAAAACCATAATTATTGGTGGAACCAGATGAGTCAAAGATTAAATCAATTAACAGACCTCGGTGGTTACAAGACAAGATGCACTAATAAATGTCTTCGTGAATATTTGGACAGCTTTCAATAGCGGAAATAGCGGATGCGGAAAACTCGGCCTCTATTAGATAAACCGAGTCTCAAGCGAACCGTGAATTTTTTTATTTTTTTATTTCAATAGCATAAGTTCGGCGGTCATCAGCACACGACAAATGTGTCAAAAGGTGTTTTACCAGAATCGATTTTCGGATCATATTCATCAGTGATATCTGTGACTGAATAATTGAAATTAATTTTAGATGACTTTTCACAGCTTTAAACGGAGAAGAGCAACTAAAATGAATTCCATAGAGCGCAGGCCATTGGAAGTATGTTCAATAGCTGCAGGTTTATGTCCAACTGATGTTGTTTTAGTGAAACTTTAAGAGAGCATGTTTGAGAAAACCAGAACATATGTGCAAGTCGATCTCTCAGATTTCGCTCAAATTTTGCAGGTAGGTTTGCTTTGGGGTGTAGATCGACATTCCAAAGCCCGCGCAAAATCTTTTGAAGGGAACCATGAAATTGGTATACCCCTCAATATTGGCCCAATATTGGCAAGATTTATGGGTCAACAAACGAGCCACGGCACAGCGTGCAAGAACAAGCTACGAACAAAACTCCATCAAGCCATCATTACCTCACCTTAGAAGAGTTCTTGGGGCAGCACTACTTAGCCATGCCAGCATCCCAGAAGACGAGGGCAATCATCCCTTGACGCCACAAATGATCGTCTTGAAAATAGCCAAATTACAAGCGCTGATAAAACAGCGAGCTACGTCCTCAATTAGCAAACACTATACACCGGCAGATAGTAGAACACCTCTTCTAGCACTGAGGACATGTCCCCCATCATCCTTTCGGGGTTTTCTTGAAATAAACAATTTTGAATTTTTCCACTCGACCATTCTGAAATACGTCCAAACTCATACCTGCGCAGGAAAGCTCGCCCCTCCGCGATGTCTAGTCAGCAATTTCTACTCCAACACCACTCCCAACGCTGCAGAACAAAGTGTATTGTTGACTCTGACAAGGAAAAGCAGCGGTGATCACTTGTCACTCCAAACGACAAGCTTCTCCTTGCGCCACCAACATTTTTCGTTGCACCAGTTGATGCAAAAGTGACTGAATTTTTGCGTGTAGTTTTTGGATTTTACTGCAAGAGGAATGAAGAAATCACGTGGATCGTGACGTAGAATAATGCTTTCTGGTGCACGACACAATGCACACGATCATGATCGTTCCTGAGGCGCTATTCGAAACGGACCATGAGGGAGGAGGTAAGATGCATTACATTTCTTGCATGCTCTGCTCAGAACATGCAGAAACTATCGTTATAATGCTAGCAGTATTGCATTGGCAAGAATTCTTTGAGATATTTCCTCTTGCAGTATGAACAGGGATGCATTTTTTCACACTAACCTCGCTCATCCCGAACATGGTTCAACAGGAACTACGGCTGGTTTACATGCTGATGATCCACGTAGATCTGCAACAGCAAGGAATGAGCGTGGTCCATGCCATCAAGGTCGCTTGGAGTTGACCAGCGCGCGGCCAACACTGTACTGGTTGCATGAAGTATGTGGCGCGCCCACATGGCAGATTTCTTACGTCATGAACAACGTGATTTGACCCTACTCGCTGCTGCATGTTGAGGGAAAGTCCCAGCTGGAAGGCCTGCAACACGACATGCGTGCTCTTGAGCTGGACATCAAGATGCACTTGATCCGATCCAGATCAACGGGTGATCCATGTAAGTGCAGGAGCACTTGATCAAGGTGACTCGGAACAACTGCTGAACCGTGATCTACGAGACCTGGCATTCTTGTGTCACGAGGCAGGTGATTTCATCATTCCTCTTGCAGTAAAATCCAAAAACTACACGCAAAAATTCAGTCACTTTTGCATCAACTGGTGCAACGAAAAATGTTGGTGGCGCAAGGAGAAGCTTGTCGTTTGGAGTGACAAGTTATCACCGCTGCTTTTCCTTGTCAAAGTCAACAATACACTTTGTTCTGCAGCGTTGGGAGTGGTGTTGGAGTAGAAATTGCTGACTAGACGTCGCGGAGGGGCGAGCTTTCTTGCGCAGGTATGAGTTTGGACGTATTTCAGAATGGTCGAGTGGAAAAATTCAAAATTGTTTATTTCAAGAAAACCCCAAAAGGATGATGGGGGACATGTCCTCAGTGCTAGAAGAGGTGTTCTACTATCTGCCGGTGTATAGTGTTTGCTAATTGAGGACGTAGCTCGTTGTTTTATCAGCGCTTGTAATTTGGCTATTTTCAAGACGATCATTTGTGGCGTCAAGGAATGATTGCCCCCGTCTTCTGGGATGCTAGCGTGGCTAAGTAGTGCTGCCCGAAGAACTCTTCTAAGGTGAGGTAATGTTGGCTTGATGGAGTTTTGTTCGTAGCTTGTTCTTGTACGCTGTGCCGTGGCTCGTTTGTAGACCCATAAATCGTGCCAATATTGGGCCAATATTGAGGGGTATGCCAATTTCATGGTTCCCTTCAAAAGATTTTGCGCGGGCTTTGGAATGTCGATCTACACCCTAAAGCAAACCTACCTGCAAAATTTGAGCGAAATCTGAGAGATCGACTTGCACATATGTTCTGGTTTTCTCAGACATGCTCTCTTAAGTGACCACTTACGCGAGATGGTTCAAACCCCTGAACACATTTGGCGGCAGCAACTCAATCTTGTTGGAATCCATCGACCTGAAAATATAACAAACCAGTTTAGAACACGTGTCAGTTGACGCAAAATCTCACACCTTCAAATACTGCATTGGCATATTGGTCAATGCCTGTGCAAACCCACCCCATACTTTACTGGACCTGCAGCGTTAAAAGAATGCTCTTCATACAAGCAGTCTGGCAGATAATATGAAAACCAGTCCACGGCATCCAACATACTCTTAGTCTAGGCCAGCAATCGAGGACATCTAAGAGTTGTAATTTTTGTACTCCTCCGAGGTGTGATTTTTGGCGTGCTGGGCCAAGCACAAGGAAGCCATCTGCAAAAAAACTGCAGAAAATGGTTGTTGTTTGATCCTTTGGTGTAATCTTTGTTTCCAGTCGAAGCTAGTTGCTGTTTGGAGCAGAAACGCTGAAATTGACTATTTTCTGCATGTACTCATTCATGTACTCATGTACTCAGTCATGCAGTCTCACTCGTATTTTAGTTCTTTTTCTGGAATGGATGCTGCTCTGCGCCCCTTGGTGGACATTTCCTGCGCTCGTGGAGCAGCTGAAAAGGACCACTGGTATGTCTGGTTCCTGGTTTGAAAGTGGAGAGTCGACTTTTGTGCCTTGAAAAAGGAGTAGAGAGCGATAAAGGTACGTCTGTGGCTTATTTTTGAGTGCTCCTCGTACATTTTTGATCGTGATAGAAATTCTCAGACCAAAGTCAGACCAAAGTCAGCGCGATGATGGCCGTACAGTTTTCTTGTGGATTTTTTAGCTGCTTCATCTTGTATCTATGTCAGTATCGTGATGGTGAAGTGGAGAGGGTGATTTTCTTCCTCTAGGCTTCGTTCGGCCGACTTTGCTTCGTCCTCGTTGAAAAGTGATCCTGAAAAAAAGGTCGATTCGCAAAATTATGTTAATTTTGAATGTACTTGATGACATGCGATTGCTGGCTATGACCAGGAAAGACTGAACAAAACAGAATCACAACTAAGGATGAATTGCAAAATGTCGGGCATGATGCCCTGTGCTAAACTTTCATTGCTGGTTCTAGTTTGTTATGGTGGAACTGTCTCCCATCAGTATCGCCATGCAGCAATCTGCTATGCTCGAAAGCATGTATGGTGACTTGCGTACGTGCGTTTTCAATATTTGTTTGTACGTAATCATGTTTGTTAAAAATGACAGCTGTATGTATTTGGATGGAAAGAAGAAAATCTCTCTGTCTTTGGCCCCAAGCTCTTTATGATAATGGTTGGCTATTGTAACCGGAATGGTCGACCTAAAACACTATACACACAGTGTGTCTGCAATAAGGTCGAGAGTGGTTGTAGAATATTCACAGTGCCTGTAATGTCGTATATTAAAGCCGGGCTTATTCCTGTAAAAGGCATTGTCAGTGCTACACTTGTTTTCACATCAGGTTTGTATTAAAACCAGGTACTTCCTCCGCGTCATTAAAATTGTCGCTTCGCACATCGCAATGTTTGTGACGTAGCTCGTCTTAGTCAGACTGTCGGAGTCGCTGTTTTCTGTGTTCGAACATTGGTGCCACCCTTCCTGCGCAATGTCTACTTGTAACTGAAGCCATGGTGGTCTCAGACTTTGTCGGAGCTCTCTTCCGCACCAAGCAAATTCATCGCGCTCCGCACTATTCCGCCCCAGAGCACATATCGTTTTTCTGGAGTTCGTGCCGTCCCACCTCGTTCGCGTGGGCATTTATCACGACTGCAAACTCGGGTATAAGAATGCTGGCATCTCTCCTGAATACGAAATGCCGAAGTTACGATGGCAAGAATAAAGTGTTCACAAATTCCTAAAATGCGCTACTTGTGCCGCATGTTGCTTCGAAGGTAGCAGGTCTGAAAACACCAACAAGATCAGCGAAGCGCTTGCCAAGGAAAGAAAGTGCGGAACTGCTTACACTATCCCGCTTGAAGATTGTTACAGTGTACTTGAAAAATGCTAGCTTGCCTTCATCGCCTGCCAACTGGAGGCATGGATCGCTCGAAAGTGAAGCTTTTTGACCTGGATTTGAACGCGCATCTTGTTCAGCGTATTGTTGAGTGCTGAAGAGTCTGCCTCAAACTCTGATGAAGACGTCGACCTTAGCTGCAAATGCAGCGAAGCGGGAGGCCACAAACTAAAGCCTGGTCCGTCGACAATGCTCTGCCTCAATATCTAGCTGATTTCTTTGCCCTTCGAGTGGAGAAAATAAATTCGAAAAATCGCTCTGGGAAGCGACAATTTTAATGACGCGGAGGAAGTATATCTATGTGTTTGTCAACACTAAAACCAGGTCTCTGTGCCGACAGTGTATCTTCGCAATCATGCTGCAATTCAAAACAAGCTTCTACAGTAGAATCTGGGGTGAGCGACCTCTGGGTTTAGCGACCACCTGCTCTTGACGACCGTCTTTCCATGCACCGACAGTTCTACGCAGACACTGTGGGACCTGGTTCTAAAGACCAACTGGCTTTAACGACCGCTTCTGCTTGCACCGTGGGGTGGACGCTTAAACCAGGTTTAACTGTATTTGAGAATGGCCTTAGCACAAGACACTAACTACACAACACCATACTTACAACAGATCAAGCTTGGGAAGATTTGCGAAGACATTCGGTGCCACAGTGTGCACTCCACTGCTCTTTATTACACTGTATAAAAAAATAAAACAATAAAAAAGTAACTTATCGTGTCCATTCCCGAAGGGGACTCACGACGGCCGCTAACACCCGGCAAACCCTATTTCACTGTATGGCACCAGAGGAAACAGTCAGACAGCGGAACAAACGTGTAACGTTACGCCTACTCTCTGCCACTTGGTTTGACTATGGTTCACACCATAACCTTAACTTCAGCTACTTTGCAGCATATCTTCTTATCTTCTGTACAGCCTCCATGAGCATAGCGTGCATAGGGCACCCTGGGAGGGGGGGGGGGGGGGGAGGGAGCACGTGGACCTCTATCAAAATTTCGATTAAAGTTCAGCATGCAGGGAGGACCTTGAATGGCATGCATCAGCCATCCTACACGTCTGGGGCCGTCCAATGCCCTAAAGGGAAACAGCTATACCTCTGAGTGACCATCAGTTCGTTTCATGTACATTTCGATTCTTGGTCTGCTCCAAAAAGATACTGACTCCCGGATTGCTTATCAACATGGAATATCTCCATGTGAGAAACACAGTTATGTATGTAGCATGCATAGTGGCAAGATTTTAATATCTCTGTCCCTGCTAGATTGGAAAATAGTGGAATTTCCTCCCCCGCTTCGAGCTGTAACTCAGTAGAATCCTTCCAGCAGTTTTTCGGTGAACACAAGCTCACAGACAGCAACAATAATGCCCATGCCATTATCTATCTGTGTATGTGTTGTAGTCAAGTGGTATGCTTCACTGTACGAAGTGTGCTCAATTCCCACGTAGGGCAGAGCCTAGTAAACAAGAGAGAGATTGGAAGCTTTGTTACAACTCTGAGTTTCACGAATTGCTACGTGTTGCCTGATGATCGTAGTAATACGTGAAACTCAGAGTTGTAACAAAGCTTCCAATCTCTCCCTTGGGTATATGTGTGTGTGTGTGTGTGTGTGTGTGTGTGTGTGTGTGTGTGTGTATGTGTGTGTGTGTGTGTGTATATATATGTGTGTGTGTGTATGTATGTGTGTGTGTGTGTGTGTGTGTGTATGTATGTGTGTGTATGTGTGTGTGTGTATGTGTGTGTATGTGTGTGTGTGTATTTGTGTGTATGTGTGTGTATGTGTGTGTGTGTGTATGTGTGTGTATGCGTGTGTGTGTGTGTGTGTGTGTGTGTGTGTGTGTGTGTGTGTGTGTGTGTGTGTGTGTTGCATATACTCAGAAGGTACATGTTGTAGAAGACTTTTTTCTTTCATTTTCGATGCAAGCATGGGTCCGACTTACAGGATGCGCAAGTTGACGAGTGGGTCAAATATACCATCTCGCAAGATTGGAATCCTGTTGTTGGACAAGTACCTGGGATTGAAAAGGAAAAAGAATGGGAGAGGCAAGGAGGGAGTGGAAAGGCAGATAGTGACACCGAGGCCTATTAAGCATCTAACCGTTACCGTGACTGTTAACCTCTAACCCAGCTTCATCTCCCTTTCCATTATGAAGCTCTGAGTATTTTCTAATGGGAGCCGAAACAACTAGAGGATGATAAACTTGTCTTTCCTGAATCCTCGCGTTCACCTGCGCTCTCCTTGACAGTATCATTATTCTGTCATTGATTTAGTTTTCCTTTCTCTCCTACATATCCTTTGATTTGCCGTCATTTTGAGCCATGCTCTCAATGAATGGACCTTAGAAGCTACTTTTTGGAAATTCATTTTTTTGTAAGATGTCCTTTAGTATGTAAGCTTCCTTACTACAATGTTCTGCTTTGAAAGAGATGTTCTGCAAAACGAAAATGCGTGCAACTTTCGCTCTACGTCATGAAGTGCGAAACTTCGCACCAACTTTCGCAACTTTTCACGCGAAACTTGTAGGGAACGCGAAGTGAACTTTCGTAGGAAGTTTCGTGAGATGGGATTTTGGCGTATGTGCGCTTGGCGTGTTCAAACTACGAAAATGCGCAGAACGCAAAGTTCGTGCGAAATGCGTACAGTCAACTTCGCCAATAACGACTGCGGATATAACGACAATTAGCGAATAACGACAGAATTTCCATGCCCAGAGCAAAGTCCCACCCAATTGTAATACATAATGAGACTTCGGGTATAACAACAGTTTTTTGATGCCCCGCCGAGTGTCGTTAAACGCGAAGTTGACTGTACACACTTTCGCTAGGCCAGTCGCGAAACTTCGTTCGAATTTTCGTTTGCAGAACCTCTCTATCATATGCCTTACTTAACCCCGCATACAAGTCACTTGCCAGGGAGTGATGCATTGCCGAGAGGATGGTTCGATGGCCATCCTCCGTACTCTGGATGTCAGCCATGAGTCAGTCAAGTGAGATCCAAGTCGGCAGGAAACCCGCGAGCTCCCATGTAGGGAGCCGCACGCCATTCCCCAAGTATCGAGAAGTTGCACTCACCTCTTCTGCACATGTCGAAGTCCCTTGAATTCTCCAAACTGTAGATTTCACTCTCATTGTCAAATTCTGCTGCGTACAGTCCTGCTGGATGAAATCCAGTCACGTCGCTCAAGTACATTTTTTAGTTAGTTTGAGCCCTTCACCGTTTCGCAGCCCAGTGACAATATATCGCTACTAATGCTGCTCGCTGTTTCTCTTACTTGTACATGTATATCATAGCCTGCCGGGGTGTCAGGCGAGAGATTCTGTCGGTGCTTTTCTCCTGACCAGTGAACATTCTTTGCTCTGACGAGACCAGTTAGTTCAGTGTGTGCTGCGTTTGCAGTGACCGAAGTTGTATTCTTCCAGCTGTGGCAAAAGGTTCGGAGGGTTAGAGATGACACAGGGCGAGACTCACGGGACCACCAGATTGTAACAAGATTGTTGACAAGATTGTGACAAAATGCAAAATGTATGCAGTATCATAGTTGGGGGTTAGCGAATCCCACGGTCACTGAGGCAGGCAGCTGATACAGTGGATCTGGGTATATTTTGAAGAGCGAGCTGCAACTTCTGCGATCAGAGGGCTTCAGCTGGAAGAGCGACATGACAAGATTTTCAAAAGTCTCTCGTCAAGCGCAGAAAAGTGACTACGACCAGGGTAGCCACATCCGATTGACATCCACTGCACCATCTCTGCGGAAATTAGGGCTTCCTCAACACCGCCCTTCCTGTTCCAAGTTAGTGTGACTATTGCTTTCGGCGTTGTCAGACCGAAGGAGCTGATGATTTTCTGCTGTCAGTTTTCACCTCCTTTATTGCCATCATTGCTCTTGCCCCCTGCCTACCCGGGGACATTGGAGTGGAACGACTCGTCGTGCTCATCCAGGAGGGACGTGTCCACATATTGCTGCAATACAGACAAACGCAATGCTACATCGTTTATTCGCCATTCTGACTGCCTGCGATCTAAACTGCCAACAACAAAGACACGATCTTCCTCATCGTCGAGCCTGTCTTCATTGCCTTCGCAACCGATCCCGGTGGTGTTTTATTTGAATAGCATTGACGTCAGGTTCTGATGAAAATTGAACTCAGGTCCTAAGGCGCCTTTGATTTAGTCGGTAAACCCATCCGGCAATCTGCTGATCCTCTGCTGCCCCCGCTATGAGTTCTCTAGGTGACAGAGCCCTTTCACCAAAACACCTTAGCCATTATGTGGAACAGCCTTTACGGTGAGACATCGCTGTCCGTCACGCAACTACTAACGCAGGAAACAAGCGGAAAAACTCGACTTCAGCAGCAGGACAGACTCAGTTTTCCAGTCGCAGGAATGAACGCTGGTAGTTCGGGGTATGCCTTCATCGCTACAGATAAGTGAAACAGAGAAGTCCGCTCGAACACAACGCAGGCGAGTGTCAAAACTGCTCCAGTACCGTTTGCATTTGTATTGCATTTTCAACCATGCGCTTCTTTTGGCGTAAAACCATCCTAATCCTCAGCCTTCCAGTTGCAAGAATGAACGCTGGCAGACCGAGGTATGCCTTCAGCGCTACACGTGAATGTGACAGATTACCAGCAGAAGTCCGCTCCATCACAACGCAAGGGAAGTTTCAAAACTGTTGTAGTACCGTTCACAATTGGTCACTGTCTGAGTGCGAATGTGTTCACATTCGGGTGTTCTTGTGTTTCTCACAACTCGATTTCTTTCCATGCTTGTAGGCAGGAATGGTGGGATGGTCTAAAACATTGATTGAGAACAGAGGGTAACAGGTTCAAGTCCTGCTTGGCAGTATGGATTTTTGCAGCCGTGCCGTCAGCCACAGATAGTTGGGAACAGGCGGCCAGGCATGAGAGATGCAAGGTCTGGCTATCCTGTCCAGTGCATGTACACACATTTTACATGCACCTTTTCCTTCTCTTATGCCATTATGATTGGCAAGAAAGTCACGTTTGGATTTGGGATACAGAATAACACCACCCTCATCATCATATTCCTCAATTCATCATAATCATCTGATGGCTGTGCGAACCGAGATGAGGAAATGGATTACTCGCAACTTTGCAGTAGAGCCCGTAGCTGCAATCTGCACATTTGAAGAAATTTATGAACAAGGGTCAACACCAGTTCATACCAGAGATAGTGGAACTAGGAAGACAGTCGGATATAGGGACTGTAGGAAGACAATGGGCGGCCATTCAGCTCCACACAATACATGCCAATGTTCCTCAATCTGCAGACAGAACTGGCTCGGCCTCTGTGGACTCATCAGCGCAGCCCAGAGAAAATGATGCAGAACCTGGAAAAAATGAAAAATATATATTCCAACGCCAGATTTACACCAGGCCCGAACATAACGGAGTGCTCAATGACAAGACAGTGAGCTCTGCATAACGCAAACAGTAAAGGTTTTTGTTTTTGTGGAGCGCTTGGGTTGCAATGAAGCCGAGACCCTATGGTTGGTCAAGCTGCCCCTGCCTCTCCCCCACTTCTGCCATTCCATATGTCTCATCGCTGCCTTGCTGCTCTGTGCCAGCAAATTGTGTGTGGCTTTTTTGTAAAAATAAAAAAGGGACTACCCCACACGAGAGTCCTCAACTACTACAAGAGCAGGAGCGAAATACTCGAACTGTTTCGTGCTTTGTGGACTCCTCAGCGCAGCACAGAGAACACGAGGCCGAACCTGGAAGCAATGAAAAATAAAATTTCCAAAGCCAGATTTAAAGCAGGCCAGAAAGTACCGGAGTGCTCAAACTGACAAGTCAGTGAGCTCTGCAGAACGCAAACAGAAAAGGCACTACCCCACACGAGAATGCTAAACTACTACAAGAGAAGGAGCGAAATACTCAATATGCGGCCTGAACTGTTTGGTCCTTTGTGGATTCATCAGGGCAGCACAGAGAAAAGTTGTATTTCTCGCCAGCCGAGCGCAGCGGGATAGGCGAGAAATGATTTCTCGCGAAATATTTTCAGTTGCAAATATGGCATCTGGTGAGTTCTTTATCGTCGCTTCTTTTTCTGACTTCTTCAGTCAGTATTGAGTCTCACCAGTGCCCATGCCCTCCCACCCTTCATTTCTGTGCATAATTTCATTGCTTTTTATCACTGTTTTTCCCTCACAACTGCGTCCGTCGGCGCGAGGGTTTTTTTCCCGGCTGGCTCGGTCCAGGAAAATTAATTTGACGGTCCAAGTGGTTCTGCATCATGGCCTATTTCTGCTATCCACTGGCACGCCTATTCTATCTGAGACACTCTGTTCTCAGTCCTTTCTTCCATATCTCACTCGTTATCCGGTTCACATCTGGCTGCGGCCAACTACCCTTCAATTTGTGTGTTGTCGCTATTGCAGTCTATGTCTCTGTGTATGGTAGAATGTGTGGAGCGAGAATGAGGCCATAATTATCTTGTAGCAATGAAAAATAAATTTTCCAAAGCCAGATTTAAACCAGGCCACAGCGTACCAGAGTGCTCAACAGCAAACACCAAAGGCATTATCCCAAATGAGAGTGCTCAACTACTACAAGAGCAGAAGTGAAATACAGTGTACTCAAGCTGCCTATCGAACTGTTTCGTCCGTTGTGGACGCATCTGCGCACCGCAGAGAAAATGAGGCCGAGCTTGGTAGCAATGAAAAATAAACTTTCCGAAGCCGGACGTAAACTAGGCTGGTGCTTACCAATTGAGCAGAATACATCCACGCTTTTATTGCAGCATCAAAGACAGCTCGATGCTGTCCTCCTGGTAGTGTAGTCCAATAGCGGAAAGGAGTAGTGGCGCAAACTAAACGCGGTATAAACAAAGTTCTAGTTCTCACTTGTCAGGGGCGTCGGAAGGTAATTTAGTGGGGTACGGTCAGCCATCTGAAGTACAATTTACTCGTGTGGGAGGGGTGGCTGAGCCGAACATTTTGGAAATTTAGAGGCCAAATCACTGTGTTTTATTGAATCCCGGGGTACTTGGGGCAAATAGTGATACGGTCAATACCGTAGTGACCGTACCGTGTGCGACACCCCTGCTTCTACATGTAGTAATGTTTAGTCAAGTAAACATATCATTATTTTTCACTGATCTGGTAAACTATGGTTAGGCCACCCTTTGTTAATTCATTGTTTAACGTCCTTTTTTTCGCGAAAAGGTACGCGGTAGGGCGGAAAAAAAACAAAAGCCCATTCCAAAAACTGGAAACCCCAATCAAACATTTTGACCAGTAAAGCATGTGATATATACAATATTTCTGGGTCTAACGGCACTTGCAAGCATAGAACAACACTCTTTGATGGTACATTGGAGCACATGCCTGATGAATCAAACAAAACAGGTACATACCATGGAGTTAGCATGTCATGAATTCATTACATCTGGATTTTTACTAGGGCACACACCGTACGATATTTAAAAGCCAACAAAAAAAAGAAAAAGAACACCAGACAAAGGCATGCCCGGGAGGCAAGATTATAAGTTTCAGGTCATGATCGGCACACTGTGAAACTACATAATCATGTATTTAAAACTTCGCATATTATTGGTACTACTACTTTCTTGTTTTTTTTTCGGTCGGAGGCAAAAAGATACGCGGGCGCGGACGTTAAACAACGAAAAAAGAAAGGGTGGCCTTACATCTGTAGGTCTAGTTCGGTGACAATACGGACCCTATGTGGTAGACCTGCCATTTACTAGTAAGCCGCTAATCGGTCTTTGACCTTGAGGTTCAAAGGTCATGGACTGGCTCTCCGAACTGTGCCTTCGCTGCTAGACCTACATTTTGTAGTCGGTCTTTGAGTTTGAGGTTGAAAGGTCATTGACTCTCCGAACTGCGCTTTCGTACATCTAGATTCGTGATTTGGGTCATTGATTCGACGGGCTTTCCTAGACGAACGTCTGTATGCTATTTTCGACCAAATATGTGACCTCTTTATTCTAACATAAATACAGTACAATTTCAAATTTGGACTTCACGGAGAGTTTCAAAGTTTTTTTTAGGAAATTAGAGGCCACATGCCACGTTCTGCTCTTTTCTCTCCCAAACTCAACACTTGCAAGCCAGATATGAAAGAAAGAAAAAATCATCAGTCACACCACCGGGACTCGAACCAGGGACCTTGCCTGGTTCGAGTCCCAGTGGTGTGACTGATGATTTTTTTCTTTTCCCCAAAAATCTGGCTGGCAAGTGTGGAGTTTGGGAGAGAAAAGAGCAGTACGTGGCATGTGGCCTCTAATTTCTTAAAAAAATTAATACAGTACCCTAAAATTAATTTTGCTAGTTATTATACTAGCATTTCGCCACTGAAGCCTACGGGTTTGACCCTCAAAGTGGTGTGTAATAGGGCACCTGGCAGCCGAGTAGCTGGTTTAAAACAGTGGACTTGGGCCACAGCATAACTTACAACTCGTTTAGGAACTTGAAGCCGATGAAGGTGTTGTTATCTTCTATGAAAAGGTTGTTGTCTTCTAGGTGCCTGGACAGAAAAAATGAGACTGGAATCAGTGCACAGCAAGATACCTTTGCCAACTCCACACCCTCAGGAACCCTCGCATACAGTCCCAGCAGGCACACTCCTTAAATTAACAAGCTTCTGATGATTACACCCATTGATGTGTGAAGTGAATGTACGAAGCAAGAACAGTGGTGGTGAATATAGCACTAACAGAGAGAGAGAAACGGAGGGAGAGAAAGAGAGAGAGAGAGCTAGCGAGAAAGACATACAGACATTGAGAAAGAGACAGAGACAGAGAGAGGGAAGAGAGAGAAGGAGAGAGAGGGTTGGATTGAGAGTGTGTGTATGTGCGTGTGTGTGTGTGTGTGTGTGTGTGTGTGTGTGTGTGTGTGAGAGAGAGAGAGAGAGAGAGAGAGAGAGATAGAGAGAGAGAGACGGAGAGAGAGAAAGAGAGAGATAGCGAGAAATATGTACAGACATGGCGAAAGAGACAGAGAGAGGGAGAGAGAGAGAGAGAGAGAGAGAGAGAGAGAGAGAGAGAGAGAGAGAGAGAGAGAGAGAGAGAGAGAGAGTGAGAGAGAGAGAGAGAGAGAGAGAGAGAGAGAGAGAGAGAGAGAGAGAGAGAGAGAGAGAGAGAGAGAGAGAGAGAGACAGAGAGACAGACAGAGAGACAGAGAGACAGAGAGACAGAGAGAGACAGAGAGAGAGAGACAAAGAGAGAGAGAGCGAGCGAGAGAGAGAGAGAGAGAGAGAGAGAGAGAAAGAGAGAAAGAGAGAGAGAGAGAGAGAGAGAGAGGGAAAAGAGAGAGACGGAAAGGGAGAGAGAGAGGGGGTGGGGGGGGGGGGAGAGAAAGAGAGCTAGGGAGAGAGGGAGAAGGTGAACACAAAAAACATTTTTAAAGCGCACAATACTTCTACTGTTTTTACATGCCTCGTTTACAGGCAAAAATTAACGGAATGAATGAAAATGGAATACATCTTACACTGTAGACAATATCAACAAAATGCATGTGTAAAATAGATATTTTCAAACCCCAACCAAATAAAACTTCAAGTTTTACAATGCATCTACAGTGCTTAGAAAAGAGTGTAAAAAAGGCTGTGTTTTTTATATCCATGGTGCCATGAAGTTACATTTGGATCTTGACATGTTAGTGCTATGTTCACCACCATTGTTCTTATAGAGTCAACTTCGCTAATAACGACTGCGGATTTAACGACAACTCGCGAATAACGACAAGATTTCCATGCCCAGAGCAAAATCCCCTCTAACCGCATACATTTTACTTCGGATACAGCGACTATCTGAATAACGACAATTCGCGGTGAACGACACTTAGTTGTACATCCCACCACTTTGGAAGCCGCATCTACGCCTTGATCCAAGAGGGTGGTGGCGTTCCTGTGGATAGGGATATCTCGGCGTCTAGCTAGACCTTTCCCAAAGAAGACCTTTTTCGCAACTTTTCATTGTTTATGAAGAAATCGCTACTTTCGCAACTTTCACAACTTCCTTCTTTTCGCGAATTATTTCCCAACTTTTCCGCAACCTTGGCCCCATGTCCCATGGCATGTGGTCAAAAGGTCAATTCACGGACTGCATGTCGGACAAATGCATACTCGCTCCCTTCAGACTCATTTGTCATCGCAGGCGTCTTCTCCGAATGGGGTCTTACCGTCAATATCAGTAAGACTGAATGGATCCGTATTTACCTGGAACCCACTTTGGGAGATGCCACCTCTACAACATCTAGAAATGTCGGCACAACTTGTGGTAAAGAAGCTTGGCGACAGGTGAAGACACTCGGCTCACTACACGGCTACGGGGAGGACGTAACGCGCCGTATTGGCTTGGTCGCAAGAGCATTTGGAGACACTCTGAAGTTATGGTTCAAACACAACCTGCTTTCTACACCCATTAAAATTCGTTTATACAACACTTTCGTTCCACCAATCTAGACCTAACACCTTGCTTGCCATGGCCTGTCAAGTGCACAAGAAAAGCGCCTAGATGTGTTTCATAGGAAACAGCTGCGGTGTACCCTTGGAATTACCTACCCAAATGTCATCTCGGGAGAATGAAATTGAAGACACCACTGCAGCTGTACTTATGGTTGATAAATATGGTGGTAAAGACACACCTGGCAATATGCCGGTAAACACACGCCTGCCCACACACGCTCTCTAGGCTGCAAAGTTCTGGCACAGAGCTCTCCTTCTCACCACCACCACCATCAGTTCGCGCCTGGCGCCTGGTCGATGCATGGCTGGCGGTATCCGGCATAGCAGGCTGGTACATCAAGTAGCGCATGGCACATAGATGATGACACAGCAACGACATAGCTCGATTGCGACGTACGTTTCGTCCCCGCTGGACTCATCAGGCAATCTTCTATTTGGATGTCTTCAAACGGAGCTTGACTCGGGAGAATGAAATTGAAGACACCACTGCAGCTGTACTTATGGCTGATAAATATGGTGGTAAAGACACACCTGGCAATATGCCGGTAAACACACGCCTGCCCACACACGCTCTCTAGGCTGCAAAGTTCTGGCACAGAGCTCTCCTTCTCACCACCACCACCATCAGTTCGCGCCTGGCGCCTGGTCGATGCATGGCTGGCGGTATCCGGCATAGCAGGCTGGTACATCAAGTAGCGCATGGCACATAGATGATGACACAGCAACGACATAGCTCGATTGCGACGTACGTTTCGTCCCCGCTGGACTCATCAGGCAATCTTCTTCTTGGATGTCTTCATACGGAGCTTGACTGGGGAGAATGAAATTGAAGACACCACTGCAGCTGTACTTATGGTTGATAAATATGACGAAACGTACGTCGCAATCGAGCTATGTCGTTGCTGTGTCATCATCTATGTGCCATGCGCTACTTGATGTACCAGCCTGCTATGCCGGATACCGCCAGCCATGCATCGACCAGGCGCCAGGCGCGAACTGATGGTGGTCGTGGTGAGAAGGAGAGCTCTGTGCCAGAACTTTGCAGTCTAGAGAGCGTGTGTGGGCAGGCGTGTGTTTACCGGCATATTGCCAGGTGTGTCTTTACCACCATATTTGGCCCAGTATCAGCGAGAATCGACCTTCGGGTGAAAATCATTTTTTTCAGAATAAGTCATTTTCTGCGACGGCAACAAAACTCTTGCTTCGCGCTCTGCACATTCAAACAAAAAATTAGTTCGTCGCAACAAATTCAATGAATGCTTTTGATCGTCCCAGTAGCAGGAGAATTCGCTCACGATGGCCAGCTAGCTACCGTCCGGCTCTGCCAGAAGTCATTGGATTGCCTAGGCAGGAATCGTCGCGTCTGATAGAGAACGACGACAGTTTCCAGAAGATGTTTTGTAGACGCGCAATTCCTATTTAGCGACGAGAATTTCAACTTGATTTAGGCGCTCCGCCAAAGGAGCTCTCTGCTGGCAAAAGTACTTTCTGACATCTGAAATTCCTTGTAGGGCCCTTCTGAATTTCGTACAGCTCCGCTCAGGGGAAATACTCAACGAGGAGAAACTAGTGAGGCGACGGCAGCAGAGGTAGACGAACTGAAACGCCCTGGATCAACTCGAGTCAGGACGAAAGAGCGCTGCCGCTAGTGACACGATCTGAATTTTCCCAGGCTCCCACACTGGACTCCATGGTGAACACCAAACCCCTTGGACGGGGCAAGAGCTGAACATTGATTGATGAGCTACGAACTCTCTGCGCTCAGTGCTGGAATCATGGCGCACTGCCGTGCATGCAGCCAGTTCCAACAGAGCTCAAATTTCACAGAGGTGCAGCAGTGATGGACTACCTCGAAATCGTGCATAAGATGAAGTGTGGAGTGTTAGAATGTTGTGCCTGTGTCGTATTCCCTGTGGGATGCACAGACTGGGACTCCAGGTGTAGTTGTAGCCACCCTCCCTCCTGATCTGCACTTCTGTGGATTTTCAGCAGACTTGGGATGGCGTTCAAACAGTTTTCATTGGTATGTAGTCATGAGGATCAAGGCCAACCATGCTCTATGCCAGAGGTTGCCCAAGAGTTGTTTTACAACAAAAACTGGACGGATGATTTATTACACTGTCTATTTTTTATTTATTTCACTGTAACACATAGTATTCCGATGTGGAAAACACTGTGATAAAATGTTGTATTTCCTGACATGTACCTATGCTTGTTTGAGAGGCTTCTGGGTCATCAATATTGCTTTGTTCGGTATAATACTTTGCCATGTGATCACTAGATACCTATAGATGACAACATCAGAAAAAAAGTCATTTTGTGAAAAATCACGCTAAGGTCCATTTCCGCAGATACTGGGCCATTTATCAACCATAAGTACAGCTGCAGTGGTGTCTTCAATTTCATTCTCCCGAGTCAAGCTCCGTATGAAGACATCCAAGAAGAAGATTGCCTGATGAGTCCAGCGGGGACGAAACGTACGTCGCAATCGAGCTATGTCGTTGCTGTGTCATCATCTATGTGCCATGCGCTACTTGATGTACCAGCCTGCTATGCCGGATACCGCCAACCATGCATCGACCAGGCGCCAGGCGCGAACTGATGGTGGTGGTGGTGAGAAGGAGAGCTCTGTGCCAGAACTTTGCAGCCTAGAGAGCGTGTGTGGGCAGGCGTGTGTTTACCGCCATATTTCCAGGTGTGTCTTTACCACCATATTTATCAACCAAATGTCATCTCTTGAAAATAAAATGGGAGAAATGAAAAAATTATAACATTCCTATCCTTTTTTGCCAAGGTCATCAAGGTGGCAGACGGTGTCGTTATACCCTCGAATGACAAGAGAAAGTTTATTTATTTCGCTCAGGGCCCTACGCTATGCTTTTTTTGCCTAGCTCATCATTCATGTTATTCGAGCAGATGGAATTTTTTTGCAATACAATGATGTAGCCAATCAGTTCGTTGTGGTATGATTGGGCATTGTAGCCGTCATGGTCGACGTAAAGCACTATAGCCATTCAATGGAAAAAACATTTCAATCAGTTCTAATAACATGCATGATGAGCTAGCGAAAAACATAGCGTAGGGTCCTGAGCTTCCAAGCTCTCTCGTTGAACCCAATCAATGGAAAAAAAAATCCTTTCCATCCGTTCTAATAACATTCATGATGAGCTAGGCAAAAAGCATAGCGTAGGGCCCTGAGCTTCCAAGCTCTCTCGTGTATTGCAATTTTAATACACTTACAAAGAGTAAGTTCTTTCTCTCTCGCTCATAGAAATTTGTGGGAATGACGTGAGCCCGCGCGATATGCAATCATAGAAGATCGATTTGCCCTGTTGACTGGTCTGCCGCGTACACGGGGAACTCGCACATACTGTGCTGCTGCTAGCAATTGCTAGCATAACTACTAGAGCCAGAGCTCTTGACGATCCTTCATTCAGAGACACACAGAAAAAACACAAATACATGAAAAAATCACTTCGGGTCGTTGAGTGAGTCTCCCTAGGCGTCCGTCATTCAGGATTAAAGACATCAGTTATTGACATTCAACGTTACGGATAGTGAAAAGGGAGGGCGACTTCATTATGAACAAAGTATTGAGTTTTTCGGCAATGGTGTTTTGGTGTTGAACCCAGTCCACGAAGAGACGACCGCCTTCCCCCGCACCACTATTATCCAAGAGAAAGAGAAAGAGAGAGAGAGAGAGAGAGAGAGAGAGAGAGAGAGAAATATATAGAGAGAGAAATATATAGAGAGAGATGGAGATAGGTAGATAGATAGAGAGAGAGAGAGAGAATTAGAGAGAGAGAGAGGGGGGGGGGATAGATAGATAGAGAGAGAGAGAGAGAGAGAGAGAGAGAGAGAGAGAGAGAGAGAGAGAGAGAGAGAGAGAGAGAGAGAGAGAGAGAGAGAGAGAGAGTAAGAGAGAGAGAAAGGGAGAGAGAGAGAGAGAGAGAGAGAGAGAGAGATAGAGATAGACAGATAGACAGATAGACAGATATAAATATATATATTATATAGAGAGAAAGACAGAGAGAAAGCCAGACATGTTAGTAATATCACAGTTACTCATATTTTTACCTTGCGTCTCCATTCTGAGGCGTCGGGGAGAACAGAGGTCTTGAACTTGGCTATCGGACTAAAGTCTGATCCAGCCTTTACTAGAACGAAACCAAAGTGAAGGGACTACGGTGAAGGCGAGTTTATAAAACTGTTGCAGATTCTGGAACTGCTCCATCGTTCACTGTAGTGCCAGCGTGTGATCGGGAAGACGGACAAAAGCTTGGATTCCCACCGGATAGAACAAAACACTGGCCCTTGCGTTAGGCTGGTCAGGTCAAGCTTTGAGTGTTTTCTATATCTCCTGTTTTGTTATCTATATAATTATTAGAGAGGTTCGGCTACAAGTACCGCGCACGCGTACGTGACGAAAGTGTTGGCCACACGTTACAGAGCTACGCGGGCGCAGAGTTGGATTCGGCTGCGCGTTGTGGCAAGCCAAGCCGCATCTCCGGTACATCCAAAATGGCGACATCGAAGGTTCTTGAAAAATTCTTCGCGGAGCGCGGTCCATGTAGATCGCCGGATTCACGTCAAGTCGTGAGCTCCAGGCCGCATACTTCTCATCCTTGAACCCAATTGACAGGTCTACACGTCGAGTTTGGCCCAAAACCTTGTAGCCGAGCCTCTCTATTGTTGGGGGGTTACCCCACGCAGATTAGAGACGTAACGGCTTTACTTTTGAAGATCATAATTATGCAATAGGGCTTGAAAGTGATGACGTCAAAAACGGCCAGGGAGTACTAAGTTGACATCAGATTTCTAATTTGGATCCACTAAGGTGTGACTTTGCTATTGCCTCAGTATGTGGGTGCATAGCAACCAACTCATGTCGTATGCAGGGGTGACTTTTACTTCGCCACCAGTTGTAACCCGCCCCCAGTAGCCAAATCAGTCAGTTTCACTGGTTACATCACCTTGCTGAGAGTAAGACGGCTTGAAATGTGCTTGGATCCATACAAAAACTGGATCCAAGTGGATCCAATTTTTGAATTTTTGAAATTGTTGCTATGCTGTGACGTAGCACTTTCAAGCCCTATAATGTGGCCATTGAGCCAAGTTTATAACCATTAACCGGAGAGCGACTTCGCTAACGCACGGCACTCACTGAGGACCAGGCACGTCTCGATATCAGTGTCAGCGGATTATGGGGCAGTCGTTTCGAGCGCACACTCATTGATGTACGGGTGTTTAACCCTCATGCAGCCTCGAACCGCACTGCACCACTGGCCACTGTCTATCACCGACATAAACAGGAGAAACGAAGAATGTATGACGAATGGGTCCGGAATGTCGAAAATGCGTCGTTTTTCCCGCTGGTCATGACGGCATCAGGTGGTTTTGGGCGTTCGGCAACCAGCCTGTATAAGACAATCGTATCTCTGCTGGCTATTGTGGGCGGGTAAGCACCTGGATCGTGGCCAAGTACTGCGGCTCTGGTGGCTTGAGGGATGTACGGGTGCTCGCCGTGCACCCCTGCCGGCAATCTGCTAGTGAAGCGTGGTACCTACTGTGTCCCGGAGATTTTCATCCAGAAGCTGATCCTAGGCTGGAGCTGCTGCTACTCCTGTGCTAGCCCTCAACCACTGGCGCTCCTAATTGGCTCCAGCGGGGGCCCTATTTCGCCCTGTTGCTATTCCACACCGTCAGCATTTAATTCTTAGGTCAGACCTTGATCCCTCCCACCATATGCTATCTGACTGTCTGCCTCTCTCTCACACACAGATGTGCGCACATACTTGTACTTGTTGCTCACTGCCAAAACTGGTCACGTGGGTCTCCCCGGGAGAGGGGAGAGAGACGCAAAAGGAATCTTGGAAAGAGGACTCAATTGGCTATTGAACCGCCCAACGGCCGACACCCCCTGAAATCCCCAAAACTCTGGGTGGACTTGAAAATGATCCCACTTATGGGCTCACCACACCTCAGTAAGTGGGTGAGGACAAGGAGCAGAAAAAGGACTGACGGCATCAGGGTATCCGTCTGCGCACATACACACACACACACACACGCACATGCAGACACACACACATGTACGCACGTGACACGCGCATACACATAATAGCCAACTTCTCTGTGTTTGGTGATCATCATCCTGTTTTCTGAAGTGCAAGCTCCCCTCTGATGCTGATTACATGTACTACCTTGCTTAGACCCAGTCTGCTCTTATGCTTAGGCCCGGTCTGCTCTTAGACTCGGTCTGTTCTTAGACCCAGGCTACTCTCCCTTCTAAATCCTACTTGGAGCAGTAAGGCTGTGTCACTGGTCCTACTGATGTCATTGTTGTGAAAGCACCAAATTATCATCACCATTGGTGGTAATTTTCCACCATGCATGAATCATTAACAATCACCATCTATGTGTCCCAACCATCCTCGTAACTCCCTTCATTGTGACTAGTGCTGTACCGTTGAAACCTACTTTGCTTCAGCGTATATTCAGTCCAAAGCTCCTTTGTTGCATAATGATCTGACGCAGTGTGCTATCGGGCAATATGGATAAGATTAGTACAGTTGGCATCGGCTATCGAGTGACCAGGTATAAAGATCCTAGTACATGAATACCGGCTAAACGATATCGGAACACAAACAGCACTATGTGTACACTATTAACGGCTATAGTGATATTAAGTAAAGTAAGTAAATTATCGTATCCGTTCCCAAAGGGAACTCACGACGGCCGCTAACACCCGATAAACCCTAGCGGCAGATGCAGCACCTAACGGTGGGGGTGAGTGGGTAAGTCTCACAACCACTGGCACAAGTGCCAAAGACGACCCCATTAGCTGCATCCATGTACCCCTTGTGCCTGACCACAAGTTCCCAGTTGACTGTGGGTAGCAGCACGGCTGGAAAAATCGCTCCCAGGCAGGACTTGAACCAGGTGCATCTCGTATCTCAATCATGGCCTTTGACCAACCCACTGTGCCTGCCTGGTGATATTACTAGTCAGTAAGTCTCCTTCCTTTCTAAGCTCACGCTGTGCGGTGCGGACAGGTCATGCGTCGTTACCAACTTGCCGCATGCAGCATGATTGTGCATGTGCAGCAGGAAGGCACCTCATGTCGACTACTACTTTTTCCAGCATTGTGTGCTTACATGCATCTACCATGATCTACGGCCTTGTGGATGCAATCGAGTCTCACATACATGTACATGAAGATATAGATTGAGAAGAGGAAGGGTTATAACAAATGCGTACTGTAGAAATCAGCCAGAACATTCGTTACTATGTTACAAAAACTCTGGAAGGAGTGAAACGAGCGTGTTCAAAGCGGGTGTTGGCGAAGATGGTACGGACACGAGACTCAAGTCCTGTATTATTTATGGCCATGACAACAAGTACTCCTGGCCGAAATTCTTCTATGACGGGCACGAACACTTGCCTTACAATTTTTCGTGATTGTACGAAGTACATATTCGCTGCTGCATCATTTTTCACCATTTACATTGTAGTGCCACTAGTGGTATCACCTGCTTGCGTATTGAGTCAAACAATGTTACCTCTGTGTAATTATGCTTATCGTGGCTATCAAGAGCTTTGATGCAAAATTCCCAGCTGACGAATGGTGTCCAGCTTGTGATCAGCTCAGCTGGCACTTACAACTCATAATAATTGTGTTCTAGACGCCAGATGAGATGTTTCACCTACAATGTAGACAAAACGTCAGTGTTCAAGAAAGCCGTCACTTCATCTTCTGCCCATCCTCAATAGCACGTTCAAGCAAATAAGTCTGAAACACAGTAGCGACAATCCGACAGCGGCGGCACGCCGTCTTCTCCAAAGGAGCTTCTATCGTTTCAATTCAGATTCCCCAGAAAATGAAAAAAATACTAGATTCCACCAAGCTCGTTAGAATCTTGCGAACCGTCAACTTGCAGGCATTTCAAGTGTTCGAGCGTGCGTAGATTCTGCTCAGCGGCTGCAGAACATTCGCCACGCGAAAAAAGTCGATGAGAGAGATGTAATGATGGACGAAATTACGAAAATCGGAAGAAGGTATTCGACCCAGTTCGACTATCCTGGACTGGATTGGCAACGTCCAACAATCGGATTCGTATTCTTTGCGGTCTCATGAGTTGGTGTGCTAAAGGGCGTTTACTTGGAGCTTCAGTGCATTGCCTTCTCCGAAAGAGGCCTTTTCTGAGATTTGGCCGATGGACTAATATACCTTTGAGTTGTTCTCTCCAATCTGTGCAGCTGATAGTGCACGTCACATGTTGTTACGATTTCACACCCCCTTTGTCTACTTTCTCTCTTCTCCATTACTATTCGCGTGGGATCACCCCTTGCCTTGGTCTTTTATAGTTGAAGAAACCACTGCTCCGGCTACGTGAAAGCGACTCCTGTGTCTGCAGCGTGCTGACTGGTGAAGCTCAAGCCAGGTAGGTGTAGTGGTACTCTTGTTGTAAACGTGGATGCTGATAGAAAACCCAGAACTGGTGGAGAATTGAAGAAAATGTCTAGTTTCGTGCTGTTTAGTTTTCATTCCTATGAACACGGCCTTACTGGAGAACATATGGAGAGATGAGAAAATCACAAGGTGCATTTCAGGGGATGTTATTCCCACTAAAGTAATAAACGCTACAGCAGGGCTTGGCGGCAATAAGTGAGTGAGCAGAGGAAATGAAGCCTTGGAGACGGACATGTCCATAAGAACAAAAGGTTGTTGCAGATGTGACCAGAGCCGGTGAAAATGGTGACCTAGGGAGAGGGTGTGCGTTACACACCTCCCATTTGACACTTTTCACATAACCATGTCCCCCCCCACCCCCACTTGACTTTGCGAAGTAAAACGAAGAATACAAAAATGCAAAATACAAGTACACGTCACACTGTACACATAGCGCTTCTAGGCTCGCAAACTTAATCTCCTACTTCCTACCAGTAGTACCTTTCACGGCTGATATTATGTATAGCACATAGCACCTGTATTGGTGATCTTTTGTTTGTTTGTATTTATTTTGATTCGCGAATTCAAACGGGCATAGAACCCAATAACATGAAAGCGAATATGAAAATTATGATGAGAATGTTTTTTAGTTTGTGGGCTACTGGTTGTTGGGGAAGCTAAAAGTTATCCTGGACAAAAATGATATACAGTCTCAGCATGTCTTACTTTTATTTGAACTTCGGTAACTCAACAGTACAGATAAATACTGAAACTCACACACGAACAATATCAAAAGAGAAGAAAATGAAAAGAGAAATAGAACACAGCAGAAGATATAAAGGGAGATATGGTGTGACGGTTGAGGAGGCGGATGTCAAAGGCGCTGGAGATGTAGCGGGTGCAGGCGGTAATGAAGAGGGTACGGCTGGAGATGTAGCGGGTGCATGCAGTAATGAAGAGGGTACGGCTGGAGATGTAGCGGGTGCAGGCGGTAATGAAGAGGGTACGGCTGGAGATGTAGCGGGTGCAGGCAGTAATGAAAAGGGTACGGCTGGAGATGTAGCGGGTGCAGGCAGTAATGAAGAGGGTACGGCTGGAGATGTAGCGGGTGCAGGCAGTAATGAAGAGGGTACGGCTGGAGATGTAGCGGGTCCAGGCGGTAATGAAGAGGGTACGGCTGGAGATGTAGCGGGTGCAGGCAGTAATGAAGAGTGTACGGCTGGAGATGTAGCGGGTGCAGGCAGTAATGAAGAGGGTACGGCTGGAGATGTAGCGGGTGCAGGCAGTAATGAAGAGGGTACAGCCGACACCGAAGACAGAGCTGGTGGTAATGGTGTGGTCGGAGATGAAGATGATGACGGCACTGAGGATGGTAATAAGGCTGAAAGGCAGAGAAAGTGAGGGGAAGAACAGTAATTAGACAATGAATGCAGATAAAGATCCAAGGGAAAAAATGTAACATGTAAAAATGTGGGCGCATGTTATGCGATCGAGTCCACCAACTTAACCCTAGAAGTACCGGAGGCATCATATGATGCATTTGCGAATTTCGAAATGGGATTGCTGTTATATGGGGGTTTAGAATCTCCCCAAATTTTGTGACTTTTAAATATTTTGTATTTTGTTAATGGCAGTGGGATGTGTTTTCAAAAATTTAGTACAGTTCCGAAATGCCAGGGCCCGGGTGCTACCTAGAACTACCGCGCGGCACCAATAAAAGGGCGAATTTGGCTTAGAACCACACGTGAATAACGTGAACAGGAATACATTTGGGAGCAAGGATATTGGGGACCATGAAGGTGGTGATTTGTACATTATGGACATGCTAATATGCACGTTTCACGTGTCGTTATGGGCAATATCGTAATCCCGAATCCTGCCGAAACAGACAAATTTGTTTGTCCTAAGTTGAAAGTGAAAGTGATTCACTTTGTCATCTGCAGCATAGAACGATATGAAGTGCCAGGGCAGTTATAATATTCTAGGAATGTCCTTTGAGTTTACGTTGGTCTGGCGGAAGCCATGTTCAGTAGGCGCAGTGTCGCTGCCGATAAAGCATTTCGTCAGGTTTTGACATGTTCCTTTCTTCTCAGTATTCTCGCTCGCATAGTACTCCACTTCTATGATAATATTGCCTATGCTGTTGCTCATTAGGAATTTGGCAAATTCTATCCTTCGCTTTAATATAACTGGGCCAGGAACCCGTTTGAACTTGCGAAGTAAAATAAAATCAATCAATCAATCAATTTCATTTGATTTTGAAAATTATTGGGCAGGAGGTTGGGGATGAATGCGAGGAGAGTGCCTGGAGCACTGTGCGCGAGCAATTAGAAGTGACCGAACACAGACACAGTTACATGCTCCAGATGAAGATGAGTGAATACTAATTGCTCCGGCTTCTCGATCAGTCTTATACGGGACCGGAGTCGAGGGAGCAAGGGGATAATAGTGATGATAAAGCTATGGAGCCATACACATAACAGAATATCAATGTCCAAAACTCGGCCAGGACTTCCTTCATGAAGCTGGGTTCTCTGGCAAAGTTGGTAGATAGTGGAAAATGTGTTGCACCAAGCAAGCGCGAAACCGCGCAACCGGTTGTTGCTTCCGAAGTATGCGGGCTTTTCCGAGATATTCACAATTTTGAAGATGGGGCAGATGCATGATTTGCATTTATTGACCAGAATATGATCCATGTCATGATCAAGGGCACAAGGTAGAAGGGAAAACAAAAAAATTGGAGAGGACTCTGCTTTGAGTGAAGGCAATAATTATCATGGCATTGGTTTCGCAAATTTACGCAAGAGGCGTCCTCTGTACCCGCAATAGTCTGCCGTCGGCCCTTCAGCTGGATAGGAATGGACGCCATATAATCAAGTAAAGTCCCTAAAAATAGTTTCCAGGAACTACTCTGCTACTTGAGGTTTAATCACGAAGATTGTCTCCGGACACGACGTCGAACGGAAATTATTCGTTTGCTATGAGTAGCGACACCACCTTCTCCTTTCGCTCGTAAATGTATTTATCACAGCAGTCAAAGAATGAACAACCTGGCTGAGACAAATTCAGCAAGTTGGCCAAGCAGCAGCCATTTCCTGGGTAATGGACTGAAATGTAGAGTTTGCAGGATGAGCATGGCAAGCAAATGCTCTTTTATTTTTCCGTAAACTGACGAGAGGTCGCCCTTTCGCTGCACGCAATGCAAGCTGCTGGTCTCCAAGATAGTGCACCTGTCATTGGTTCTTACTTTTAAAAGGTACCTTTTACCCCATGGACTTCTGTTTCTACACATATTGCCGATAATAATTCCAAGCAGATATGTTTAAGTCCATTGGAGTCTTATGATGCCTCCGGTACTTATAGTCTAGTTGAGATTTTGGTAGTTCTAGGGTTAAACTTAAAGTTCTAAATCTGATTGGTTTGTGAACTCGACAGCATAACCTGTGCCCACATTTGTATATGTTGCAATCAGACAATGCTTAAACATGCGTGTACATGTAACTCTTAAGTGGAATGAGTGGCACCGTTTTGTGAGTAGTGAACAAAATTAATTTGCGCCTGAATCAATACGTACGACTGATATCCTGTACCAAGGACAGCCCTCCGATCTACTCGAAGCCTTACACTTGGGACAATGTCTCTATAAGCCCATTGCGCAATGACGTAATTTATACCATAAACACACCACACAGCCACCTGGGCATGGTTGTCTGGGGTGTTGAACAGTGCATTGCGGATCCCAATGTACTCACATGAATTACTCATATCTTCCATATTTGGCAATGCGCAATGGCCTTTTTGCACATGCCTGCTAGTGCCTTTTGGTCGATTCACCCCACATTGATATCATGCAATTATTATTATTATTATTTGAAACTCGGATGTTGAGCAAATAATAAATGTAGAAAGGAAAAGGAAATTTAGATACGAGTTGAGAGTAACTCTCCACCACTGTAACCAGATACTATTATACAGTCAGTTCCCCTCTTTGGTCTTTCCATAACCTTGAACCTTCGAAGTTGGAAGGCTGTCGGTTACCGCTACGGAGATGTGTTGAAGCTAGGTGTCAGGACGTCGAATGTCTCAGTACTCTGTCAGTTTTGTGCCTAGTTGTTGCACTTTCTGACTGTATAATAGTATCTGGTTACAGTGATGGAGAGTTACTCTCAACCCATATCTATATTTCCTTTTCCTTTCTACAATTATTATTATTATTTATACAAAAGAGAAAGACCAAGGAACTACAAGTTACGCTATACTGTCCACTAACACCACCAGTTACTAAACAATCAGCTCATGCGATAACATTGCACGACACTGACCGACGGTACTGACGTTCTACAACTAACTGGCTAACAACTCTAGCACATCTTGGATGCGCACTCCAACAGCCTTCCAACTTGGAAGGTTCTAAGTATTCCTAAATGACTACATAATTTTAATGCCCGCACCATGTATCCCAGGACGTTGGGTTAGGGTGGTGCGAATCTGGGTAGTGTGGATCAGGGTAGTGTGCATCAGGGTAGTGTGGATCAGGCCAAACAATCCCAACGTACTAGTCTGCTCAAACTGTTTTGCTGCACATAAATCATTGGCTGCATTTTTGGCATCAAGTTGCACAACTAACACGCATACATACCTGGGGTCGCATGTAGTCCAGGAGTTACTGTTGTGGGTGTTTTCTGCCTCAGTATACTGCACATGATGTAAAGTCTCCGGCCTGCTGGTGCATAGGAGTTCTGGTCGCTGGCGTATGCGGTTCCGTACGAATCCAGCGGTCCCAGCCACACGACTGGAGTGTAACCCACGTTTAGCTGCCGGCGGATCTTGGCCAACAGCTGCTGTACGCAGCCAGACTGGAAGTCCGACCGGGTTGGTAAGGCACCGTTTATATTAGTGCAGAAAGCCGTTGCCTCCCAGAATGTGCTCTCATTGCTGCTCATCATAGTGAGATGGCTCCCAGTTATGGGACATGTTTCAGTAAAAAAGTGATCTATGTTACAAAGCAAGCGGGGAAAATACACAGACAAATATATGTATTTGTGTTGGAAAAGAACAGATCTTACGATCTTATCCAGTAGCCCCATGCGCACGCATTATCTTCCACAGTTAAGGGCTTATGGGTGATTGAGCTGAAAAAGTGAATAATAGTTAATGCCCACAATTGCATAATACCGTTTGAAACTTTGAATTTGCGAATCAAAATAAATACAAACAAACAAACAAACACACTGCTCGTTTTGACCGCCGAAAAAGGGGATTCGCTGGGAATGAAAGTCTCCTTAGCAAAAAAAAGTTTACTTCCGATCCGTTCGGGCATTTCATGTATAGTGTGCTAGAGTACCATTAATTTTTACCAAACGGTGAAGTTCGTTCGATTTTGTAAGAAGTAGCATTATTCATCCGGCAGAAACGGTTGTGGTTCACAAAATGTGTGGCCGGCTAACACCTTTTTTTGGTAACCATCAGATATCGTGCACTGGGTTCAGGCGAAATTCAGCAGACACAGCGCTGTGCGCGTAATGGTCACACACTATTGAGTCAGGTACAAGTCCTGAAGTTATAATTATAATTATCCCAATACTAGTTCAATACTATTATTAGGTAAACCTTGTTATATCCGTGATTGGTTCTAGTACGGTCACTGTTTCCGAACACAGTACCCTCCACCTTGTTTCATGCTGTCAAACGAACAAGTCCTGATGGTGCAGAAGTTTTTTTTGTCAGATTGCTCACGCACCCATAATGATCAACCTAGTACTTATAATAATAATTATTATTATTGTTATGTGCTTGTAGACATCAGCATGGCCTGCAGCTGCATTAATGGGCACGCAAATCATGCAAACCACCCAAAAGTGTTCGCATAAGCCACTTCGAATAGACCACAACAGTTTCAGAAAAAATATACTAGTATGCGAAAAGAAGACAAAAACTAGGGTGCCGACACCACGCGGGCACAGATGCCCATCCAACTCTAGCACTTACTGGAGTTAATCGTCTGACATTGGTGACTTTCCACAGTTCCTTGGCAAAGAGCATCTGGACATGCTTTGTCGTAGGACGGGCTCCAAGTGTTGCACTGCCGCTTACACAAATTCGGTTCTGGACAACGAAAACGAAGAAAATTTGCAAATTCAGAACTACACAACGTCCGTTCCTTTTCTCGCTTCGTTTTAGAATTGCACCAGACATCTTTAAAAGAGGTTTGCAGAATACAGTATTTCAAAAATTGGCCACCCCTCTCACCCTTTCTTCTCCTAATATGTTGCTGCTATTGACCTGAGCAAAATTATTAATTTTTTAATGACGTGCAGTAGTATGAATTGATTGCGCCAGAATATAATGAGGGTCCTACATATAGGTGCTTTGGAGGAAGGCAAAAAAATGGCATGTCTCGTGCCCTGCGTTTGTTTCTACAAAAATCCACATAGTTCCAGACACTGGGGTGAAGAAGGGAGTGTGGTGGTGGCCCTGGTGGGGCCCGACCAGAGGTCTCGGCTTCATAGCTCCATGGACGCACCAAAGAGAGATCGGGTAGGGCTGCAGCTGCTGTAAAAGATTGTTGCAAACAGAATTGTTTGGAGAAATTTAGCGCTGCTGACATTCAAGCGTCCATTCTTTCGATGCAAGAGCTTGAGAAGCCTGAGAGCGATATTTCATTCTTGGGCTTTTGTCGTCCTCTGCGCAGCACACTGCCCACACTGACCAGCCTGGGAAGAGGAAAAGACAAAAATTTGTGTACTCGTTTCAAGGTCTGCCGGTGTGCGTCACTGCGTTCCGTCATGTATTCAACATCGGCACAAAGCGCATGGACAACTTGCGCAAGCACTTTGAGGAGCATGGTATTGAGCCCAGGACACATGGCAATACTCATCGCCGTCCCCACAATGCCCTCCATTTCGCCGATGTGAAACGATGTGTGGAATTTATATCAGCGTTCGCTCAGGACTTCGGTATACCACATCCAGCGCCGTTACGTGGTCGTGCTGATACACCGCCAGTGTTTCTCCCTGCATATTTGACGTACAAAGCCGTTCACGCTAAGTATCTGGCAGTGTGTGAATCCGGAGGGTATAAGACCATCTCGGCGTCCAGCATGCGTGCAATTTGGCACCAGTGTCTGCCTAGCATAAAGTTCATGACACCGAGAACCGATGTGTGTTCAACCTGTGAAGCTCTACGCCGAAAGGTGACAACGGCGTTCGGTGAGAATGAGAAGCTTCAGGCTTGCAAGGATTTGGCAGACCATGTGAACACTGCGCAGAGGGAGAGAGAGCATTACAAGGAGGCCACACTGGATGCCAAAGCTGAGCTAGATTCTGGAGTGGCAATCAAAAGGAAGATTCATTATACGTTTGATTTCGCGCAAAACGTGTTCCTACCCAACAGGAAGGTCCTCTCTATTACAAACCCCCTCGGAAAGTGCAGCTCTTTGGTGTATGCTGTGAGGCCCAACCACGACAGATTAACTACCGTCTAGATGAGACAGACACAATTGGCTGTGATGGTAAACGTTCACACAATCCGAACACCGTCGCATCTCTGCTACACCACTACTTTCAAGTACATGGCCTGCATGAAGAAGAGTGTGTACTTCACGCCGACAACTGCGCAGGCCAGAACAAAAACAGAACTATCATGGCCTATCTTGCATGGAGATGTCTCACCGGCCTCCACAAGAAAATCTCTCTCTCCTTCATGATCACAGGTCACACACGTTGTTTGGTGGATTGTATGTTTGGTCTTTTGAAGCAGCGGTACAGGAGAGCAGATTGCTACACCATGGGTCAGCTGTGTGATGTTGTCAACAGCAGCAGCATTTGTAACGCTGCTCAAAGAATTCCAGGATCTGGCCTAGTATTGTACGAGTGGGACACGTTCTTTGAGGGTTTATTCCGACCAATCCCGCAAGTAAGCAAGCAGCATCATTTCCTGTTCTCGTGTGAAACACCTGGCATCGTCAATGTAAAGAAGTTGGTTGATGATAACTTTACTCCTGTTGCCATCCTCAAGACCACAGCTGAACAAGTGCAAGCTGCTGGCCTTCCGAATGTTCTACCCCCGGGTGGCATGTCAAGAGAGCGCCAAACTTACTTGTACAAGGAAATCCGCCCGTATGTAGCTGACCAGTGGCAGGATGAAGTTTGCCCAGCACCACCACCACTGTGAACTTAAATTTTCTCTCTCAATCAATCAGATTTGCTTATCTGAAATTTAATCTCCCTTTTTCTCTTAATACTACGAGTAATTTACTGACTGTGTACCACCATTGCATGTGTATCATGCATTGCTGGATTTGCCTTTTGCGGCACATTGATATTCTGGCCGGGATTAGCCAGTCCTCACTAATAATGTCGTAAACACTACAAATTGTGTGAAGTGTTTGGTCTAGAGATGCTTCTTACCTGATACTTACATGGCTCTTTGGTGCTAGATGGCAAACCATGACAAAATACTGTCCAGAATGATTCTCCGTTACATCTGTTGCAACTAGCGTGGCAGGCGTGCTTTTGTGTTTGCAACCGCCAGACCGCAACCAACACAAATGCTTGTAACTTAGGTTTTACTGGGAGTTTTTGACTAATTTTTTTAAATGATTTGTGAAGCTTGCAGGTATATGGTGCACTAAAAAACCCAATTTCCAACATTTGAGGCTAAGCACCCTTTTCGCGTGCTCTGGCTCATATGTCGGATCAATGGTTTCCAATTAGTGACAATTTGTAGAAGTAATTCATCATGATGCGGTGAAAAAGAATTATTTTCATCCACACTATTACGTACCAGGTTGTGCAGCAGTTCCCGGATTTCCCATCTCCGGTGTTTTAGCAGAGTCGCAAAGATTCCTCGGGATACTGCACATATAGTACAGGTTATATGTGGCCGGCGGATAGGGTTGCCCATTGCTACCGACCCCAGGTTGACCTCCGTGCGTCTGTCCCAGCCACGCGACGGGAAAGTAGTTGAGGCTAAACTGTTGGCGAACTTTAGTCAACAGCCGATTGACGCAGCCGTTCTGGAAGTCGGACTGGGTTGGTAAGGTGCCGTTTAGTTTAGAGCAGGCTGCCCTCGCTTGCCAGTAGGTTTGCTCTTTGCTGCTCGCCATGGTGAGAACATTTCCAGTCTCGTTGCATGTTTCAGTCAAGGAGTTTTCTGCATGGGGAAACAAAGGAAGGATCAGAAAAATCCGTTTCTTTATCAATTTGAAAGGATTTGGCGAACTTCAACTTCAAAGGATGAGTCCGGGGAGTGAACTGAAAGCCGGACCCACCAGGACTCGAACCCGGGAACAACCTTGTCATGGGCAATGCTCTAACCATCTGAGCTATGGGACCAGGCATTTGTTATCAACAAGCCATTTGGCAGGTAACACGCTAAGCAAATGCACACTAAAGTTGTGACTAAACACCTAGAATATTAGTACTGCTCGCGTATGCTATACTGCACAGCGTGTTCTTTGTTATACGGATGTGCTTGAAACGAATCTTCAAGAAGAAGGTTGGAAAAATGTGTTATTGACTTCGTACACGTTGCCTGTAACCAATGGTCTTGCCATGGCAGCGACAAATTCGCCCAAGACGTGCATAGTCGAAATGCTGACAATTGGTTTTACAGTTCAGCGGCTAAGGGTTGTGAGATTGCTGGCGCACATCAGACAAGACCAGCGTGATCGTGCATTGTTGGTCTGAGTTATAGTAAAACCTGGTTTAAGCGACCACCCCACGGTGCAAGCAAGAACGGTCGTTAAACTCAAGTGGTCTTTAGAACCAGGTCCCATAGTGTCCGCGTAGAATTGTCCGCGTATGGAAAGGTGGTCGTTAAGAACAGGTGGTCGCTAAAACCAAAGATCGCTTACACCAGGTTTTACTATATTCAGACCTTGCTATCCCAGCCCTCTACTCTTACCTGCATCTATAGAGTAGCATCTGTGTTGGCCGAGAATGCCCTTGCAGAATGCGTCAGGGCAAATATTCAGGTAGGGCGGTCTCCAGCTATAGCAACGTCCAACACATTGGAGCGTGACTGGACGCACAAGGAGATAAGAATTGAAGACCATGCAAATTCATCAATTCCAAAGCCCATATTTCCTGCAATCAATGTCCAGCAGTACAGAAGACTCTGCCGTAGTAATGAAAAAAATAACATAGTCCATAGAACCCCTGATATGCTTCCTTGTCTGTTCGGCTGCATTCGTTTTTAGCTACCTGGTAGAGTAGAGTAGAGTCACTCTACCGATAGAGATAGAAGATAGAGGCAAGTACACGAACGCTGTTCTACAGGATTTGGGGGTTAGTTGTTTACACGATATGTACGTGAAATGTTCCTTTTTTGGATGGAGTTGTGTATAAATCCCGTGGCTCTACCAAGTTCTACCGGATTCTACCAACTTTTCCCTAGTAGAGCCGGTAGAGGAAAGTAGAATCTACCTTTCAGAGAAGATTTTTTTTTTTAAAAACAACACCTCTAGTCCTCTACCCAAAGAAGTAGTTTCTACCCAAACCTGTAGATCAAAAACGAACACCCCTTAAACGTCACCTAATAATAGTAGCAAGAGTGCATTTGCTAGTAGTGCATCTGATGTAGAAGGTTAGGCTACCTCAGCATGCACAGTATCATTCCTGACGGATATATCCGTCCCATACGCACAGACGCGACAGAAGTAATACGTACCCGGAGTGTGAACGAGACCGGGTTGTCCGAATTTCTGCTGTATATCACTCTCTAGACGGTACACAAATGCCTTATAGCTGTAGAGTGCCGAGCAGAGTCTGTAGTCGGTCACAAGCGGATTGCCTAGGAGATCTATGTGTCTGCACAAACAGGAAAGAAACATTGTGCTATTTTACAGACACGCTCCGAGCCAAACAAGATTCCTGAGGTTGAGAATGGAACAAGTTGTCTAGCAATACTTGTCAAAGTATTGAGGCATATTATGCTATTGATGCTAGTAGTCAGTGGTGGAGAGTGAAGAGACGGCAACGACAATGAGAACTCTCGTTTGTTCACGAAGTGTGCTAGACATGTATCTCCCAGTCATAAATACATGCATCCGTAAAAATACAAAATAAAAAAGAAGAAAAAAGGAATGCGGAAGGGAGGATCACTCTTGTATGTCAGTCCGGGCCTGGGAATCTAGTGATGTCTGTAAAATGTCACTGACAAGCGCTGAACTACACCTGTCTTCTATGATCTAACCACAACATGGATTGAGAATCAAATACAGGCGGTATTCCTGAAAACATTTTCTATCACGCCCCTTTCACCAACACCATGTTGAAATTGCGTTGCATACACCCGTAAGCACATGCAAACATGTGAGCGCTAATCCAGGACCTAAAATGCTTGCGCATATTTCCGCATATTTTGTGAGACAGTTCATTATGGCTATGGCACATTGAGCGACAAAGGGAATATTGGAATGAAGCCAGCATATAATTCAATGTTCTGAAGAAAATGAGGACAAAACATTCATATTATGGACAAAAATGCGTTCAGAAATGCCTTTTTTGGATGAATTTGGAATGGCACTGAAATGCAACTACAGTAGGCAAGGGTCAAGCATATGCATAGCTGTACGATGTTTCAAAGTGTACGAGAACTGGAACCGATCGCCAACCAGCCCATCGATAAGGGTGTAATTTTACTGAAATGATCTGCACTTTCTGAAAAAAGTCGAGCATATTTTGGCATATCTGTTTGCATATCTTGCTAAGCCGTTGGCATATTATGGACGTTTTCGCTGTTATGCGACGAGCGTAATATGCTCTTTTTTTAACATATTTGGTCGAGGCCAAAGGGGGCGTTCGTTTTTGATCTACAGATTTGGGTAGAAACTACTGCTTTCGGTAGAGGTGTTCGTTTTTTGAAAAAACACTCTACTCAAAAAGGTAGATTCTACTTTCCTCTACCGACTCTACAGGGAAAAAGTTGGTAGAATCCGGTAGAAGGTGGTAGAGCTACGGGATTTCCAACAAGATCAAGGATTTGTACACTACTCCATACAAAAAGGAAACATTTCGCGTACACATCGTGTAAACTACTAGATCTGGTAGAACAGCGTTCGTACACTTGCCTCTACCATCTACCACTATCGGCAGAGTGACTCTGCTCTACTCTACCAGGTAGCTAAAAACGAACGCAGCCCTTGTAAGCGCACATGTACATGTACCTACAAGCATGGACGGAATAGCTCACACATTCTACTCGCATGCAGATAGCACTTACGCACGGAAAGGTAGGCTTCCAAACACGTTTTGGGGTAGAATATCGAGTTGGTTGAAGTTCATATCCCTGTAAGAAACACAATTAAATTGATATTGGATCATCGTATCAAACATATAAACTCGGATGTTGAGCCAATAGCATTAATCCTCAGAAAGACGAAAGGCAAAACTCGTTGAGGGCGTTACTCGTAACCTATTGGTCCTTTCCTATTTCTTTTCATTTTTTGGTGCTTTTATCCAATGGATACCCCAAGGGTCAAGGTCTATCAAGGACGCTAACAGAGTTAAAATAACATACGAATTCAATAAAAGATATGATGCTCTGAATGGAGAGGAAATCGTGTAAAAGTCTGGGTACAAGAACGGCGCACTTCGGTAAAAAAACTACCTCTTGAAGTAGAGTTTCGATGTTGTTTTCACTTCACCACATCTATATCTTAGTTGTGTTTGTGCAGCTAGTTGTGAAAATGACTCAGGAGGTTTTCCGGCTCCCGACAGCATTCATGACGGCTCAAGTCGATGTGAAAATTATATCCCCACACGGAATGTATACAAGCTAATGGAATAGGCTGATTTAAATCTTTCTTTGGATCACAACATTCATGTTGATTGCATTTGTCTCCTGGGGGAAAGGCACAGCATACTTACAAGTATAACAGACGGGTATTCTTGGCAAAGGCACTTGGTGCAATAGTTCGTATCAAACAGTTGGACACATCACTGTACAGAACATGAAAGGTCAATCAGAGCAAACATCATGTCAATAATTCCCTCATCATCATCATCATCATCATCATCATCATCATCTGCGTTGCCGAAAAAATAATACTAGTATACTAAATTTGAAACTCAGATGTTGAGCCATAAATAAATGTGGAAGAGAAAAGGACATATGGATACGAGTTAAGAGTAACTCTCCATCACTGTAACTGGATACTATTATACAGTCAGAAAGTGCAATAACTAGGCACAAAACTGACAGAGTACTGAAACATTCGACGTCCTGACACCTAGCTTCAACACATCTCCGTAGCGCTACGGTTAGCGCTCTGGAGATGTGTTGAAGCTAGGTGTCAGGACGTCGAATGTTTCAGTACTCTGTCAGTTTTGTGCCTAGTTATTGCACTTTCTGACTGTATATAGTATCATGTTACAGTGATGGAGAGTTACTCTTAACTCGTATCCATATGTCCTTTTCTCTTCCACATTTAGTATACTAAAAATAAAATTAAAATAATAAACGGCATTATGCAGCTGTGTAAGCAGTAGATGCACAGTGTGACTGCCAGGCATCTCTGTCAGATGCCAAATGGCAATCATGCAGAGACATACCAATCCACGAAACAATTCCCTACGTATACAATAAAATTGCGCAAAACCGCACACGCGTAACGTAGGTCTAGATGGTCTAGATGGAAGCACAGGTTTTGATGACATTTAAAAATGCTATCAACATCTGAGAGTATTATTTTGGGAGCAGCCTGGCTGAGTGTTTATATCTGTGTTCTTGCAGGTTTGCGTCCTGGTCACATGTGTATTTGGAACATCGATCACTCACGCAGACATCACGCAACTACGTTACTTGTTTGACATGTATTTACTGTGTATATTATAACAAAAATATTATTGAAAACCCATAATTTATTTTCTTGTTCCTATCATCAGTGCGAAAAAAATACGGAACTAAGGATACAACCAAAGAAACTGAAGTTTAAGTACTGTAAATAGAAAGGTGTTAGAAATAACAGCGAGATACACTTTTCTAAGCACTCGCAGACTCCATTGAATGGTTTTCTTTTTCACCCTGAAGATGGGCCATGCCCGAAAATTTGGTGCATTCAATTTATATCTAATATTATTTGTTTTTTTTGGAAGTGAAGTGAACATATGCAGCGAAGAGACCGTAGTTGGAGAGTTTGAAGTGAGGTACCCTATAAAGCGAGATACACTTTCAATAAAACCACTAGAGGAAACGCTTTTTTTCTTTTTGGTTTCCCGTTCTCGGGGCCTTCTATTCGGTACTCTTTGTAGTTGTACTTCTGTACTGTTGAGCTATCCGAATTCAAATAAACACTAACAAACAAACCATACTTACAGGTTTCTTAGGTACGTTATGGGATCGAGCAATCCGTCATTCAAAGTGGGAATGATGTTCCTTGACAGATTCCTGAATGCAATATGAAAAACGAGTATTCAATTAAAATGAGATTAACCTGCTTAAGCTAGCTTGGACAGGGAGATAGAGAGAAACGAGAGATAGATTATTATTTTTATTATTATGTACCAGGGAATGCGGGACAGGAGAGAAGAGATTGTATAGCTGGAGGCGAGAGATACATACAGAGAAATAGAGCGAGAGATACAGAGAGAAAAAGAGAGCGAGAGAGACAGACAGACGAACAGATAAAGAGATACAGACAGACAGAGAGGGACAGACAGAAGGAGAGACTAAGAAACAGAGGAGACAGAGAGTGAGACAGAGAAAGGGAGAGAGAGAGAGAGAGAGAGAGAGAGAGAGAGAGAAATAGAGAGAGAGAGGAAGAGAGAGTGAGTGAAGGAGAGAGAAAGAGAGAGAGAGAGAGAGAGAGAGAGAGAGAGAGAGAGAGAGAGAGAGAGAGAGAGAGAGAGAGAGAGGGAGATAGACAGAGAGAGAGAGAGAGACAGCGAGAGAGATAGATCCTTACAGTCCATTCATTGGAAACTGTCACGCCGGCTTTTGAAAATCCGATTTGGGCCAAATTGAGGATCAAAAACCCACTTAAAATCTCAAAAATCTGGGTTTGGGATCTGCTTCTCCACAAATATCGCCATGGCATACCTGTCCCAATTTGGTAAAACCTGGCTGAATTTCTATTTCCGGTTCTCGAACTTGCCTGGCCTTAATGTTGCAAGGAGTAATTGCAAGGGTCACACAATGCAGGATGTACTAGTACTGTTGTTTTCACGATATCTACAACTATGTGCAGGATACATCAAAAAGTTAGGTTGCCAGTTTCCAATGAATAGACTGTAGGTATTTTGTACGAAGTTACTTTGTATAATACTATTATAGACTCGAGCCCGATCGACTGGTCTAACTTCACGGGGAAGCTGCCCTCTTGGCCATGGAACCTTGAAAAGGGCATTCTAAATTGCATAAATACCCGTATTGTTGGCAGACAGTGTAGTAGTTGCTGGGCAATTCAACTTACACCCACTCCAATGAGCTAAAGTGCTGGAAGGTATTGGTATCATCGATGAAGAGTTGGCTATTTTCCAGCCGCCTGCAGAAAACAAAGACAACATTTCGGATCATTGAGTTGTGTACACTCCGATGAGGAAGTTTGCGTTTGGTTGATTGGTCGCATTTCAGAAAGGGAATCCCTAGGAATCACTCTTGCCCGTTTGCTTGGTCAAAATAATCCGTTTGCTTGGTCCCAGTTTGGTCATTCCAGAATGGGAATCGCTTAAAATGATTCTTTTTGGGGAATGGATGTCATTTACATTCCGAAAATGCCAACCAAACTGAACCTAAGTCTTGCAAACACGTACATACATCATGGAGACATGTGCACATTTGTCAGAAAAGGGCATGATGCTCCTTGACAAGTATTAGAATCCTCAAGGAAGTGCCCACACAAGGCTATGTTGGGGAATTCAAACCTCAAGATGTATTTTCTCCGTTTCAGTCAAATACCGCAAATCATCCTGTGCACTTGCGCTAACATTTGGCCTTTCTCTCGATATCGAGAAAGGCGTTATCTTAGAAAGATGTTCTGTAGCGTGTAACGTTTGATTACTGGAGACCTAAGACGAACAGTCTCTCCTGGTACATATCACTCGTCTGCCTTCACAAAGATCACATCATTGACAGATTGAGGCGATGACTGGGATTGATGTATGCATATATGTGGCCATATAGACCACACCATTGATGATAACTGTGTCGCCCCGTTTGGAAGCCACATACAACTATCCAAAGCGCGTTCTTGTATACTTACAAACGTGTTACACTTCGCCTTTCGCTAGGTGAGATCACTGGAAACGCCGTGAGATCGCGAGCTGAGCAGTCATCCAAAGGAAGCAGCCCCTGTGAATGAAGTAGTAGGTTCTTCTCGGAAACCACTCGCAAGCACGGTGTCATTGACGTAGCCAGGCCGCCGCATGCTAGCACGACTCCAAGCAATATCACGTGAAACATCCTGCCGCTGATTCAACGAGTAGTTCTTCATGCACCTCCACGGACCTGTAAAACAAAACAAAAAGCGATTTCCTGTTTAGCTAGACGGAACTTGATGGAGTTAATAACCGTTGGGCAATTAAGATGTTGGATGACTGTTCCTGTGACATCTTCACAGATATTCTCTATTCGAAACCGCAGTGTCTGCGGACCTCAAATCCAGTCAACCAACTAGATGTACACGATCTGTATTCCTCAATCATACCGTGCCTGCGCCTTGACACCTACCCGGATTTCTAGGTTTCCCTGTAAAGAATGAGCCTTTTGGGAGCTCCTTTCCTCACATGCCAAGCACAAAGCGTGACCTTTGTTTATGATTGTAACACGTTACAAGTCTGTATTATAAGGGTTCTTACATGAACCTCCTGTATTGTAGCCGGCTTCGGGGAATTCCAATATTTTCCTGCTGTGTCCGGCTATATTTCAGGTTATTAACGGCACTATAACTTTTTTTTCCATATTTCTATCTATAGCTATTTACTGCAAAAGATTTTTTCCCATTCTACCTCACAATTTGCGGGCTCATCACTCAGGATAGCGCCGCTTTGAGATCGGTGCTACCACTACTTGCATACAACCTTCTTGACACGACCACGCCACCACTCCCCGTATTCATGGCCACACATGACGGGTTTACGTGGTTCTAGTAAAAAAATACTCGCTGATTAAAGGGAAAGTTGAGGCAAAAATTAAAATTTCACCAGTTGCAGTCTTCGGGGTGCTGAGTCGAATGGTCTTGGTCCGAGACAGCTGAGACGCTCCCTTCCTACTTGAATCCCGATCGAACTCGCGCACTTCCACCGAAACTGGGTGACTGTGCCCTACTACATGGGGATTTGTATGCAAAATGTCACTAAAAGCGCCATTTCGTTCTTATAAAAGCACGGATGACCGCGATTGGCCCATATGTTGTAGTCTTTTGAACGCTGAGTCGACTGGCTTTGGTCCGAAAAGGCTGCGATGCAGCGTTCCTCCTTTATTCCCAATCGAACATGGTTGAACAATCGGTCACGTGCTCCTGGGTGCCCAAATCACCTGGTCACCACGCCAGCGGGCGACAACTTTCACACCAAGGTTCAACTCGAGTTCAACTCGAGTGACAGGACCCCCCCCCCCCCCGTTGCCCCCTTCACCGTGACTGCGCTCACACAGACAGAGTAACCCGCGGCCAAGTCAATTATTCCCTTTCCTTACCCATTGTGCAAGCTCAAGCTGGATATTGATCTATTTCATTCCTTGGTGCTGACCGCTTTAATGCGCTTCCCGAATCCCTTCGCACAAATCATATCCCCAATTCATTTCGCCAGGAACTTAACAATTTCATTCATCTTGGGCACCCTGTAAGAAGACCTTAGGGTCTGTTGGGAATGCCCAAGTAAAATAATAAAATAAAATACAATACAAAAAAATACAGGACTGCACCCAAAAAAGGTCAAACAGGCTAGTAAGTTGTACCCTGCAGGCACGGTGACCAGGTGACTGGCGTACGCAGGAGCACGTGACCGCTTGTTCAACCATGTTCAATTGGGATTAAGGGGGCAGCCTACCCATAAATTTCATATGGCATTCAATTGACCGTAACTTTGGTGTTTCTCAGTGGATTTGAGTGAAATTTTGACCACACACTCCTGCCACTATGCTGGCCCTCAGGACATGATTTACAAGTTCTTGCGCCTCACTGACAGGCTTTCCAGGCCGGAAAAACTCAAATTTCCGGCATAGTGCCACGGTGTGCGAGCCACCCAGGAGTCAAACAAATGCATTTACATTTTTTCACATTTTCGTGCCCATTCTGTCCGTGCGCGGGACCCAAACCTAAAACAAGTCCAGAAGCAGCCATGGGTGGTGGGGTAGGGCCCCTCAACGTGGCCCTGGAATCTGTCACAACGGAACGAGTGGGCGTTCTCTCGCGGACTCCCACAGACCCAAGTCAATTTTTGAATTTTTTAGGTTTAGGGTGTGCTACGAGGTCGTACCTTTGATACAACATCCAGTGCTGGGACCTCCACAGCAAGCCATTTCCACAGCGCTGCACACCAAATCCAGGATGCCCTCAGAAACCGGCAAAGACTGCCACTCACGTGTCACTACTGCCTAGTACTGAATCCTACCTGACTTCTTGACACGACTCAAACTTGCCAAAGTCACTAAATCAACGTCAACTACAATAATCAAGCCACATATCTGCAACGTCACGAGGGTGCTGGCAAAAGTCCTGCTGCACGGCGGCGGGCTTCGCCCGCCGCCGTGCAGCCCAATACGTGGTTTTTTAACGTGATTTTTTGGACTTTTTTGGACTTGGGGCAAAATTCTGCACACTTTCGCGTGTTTCCATAATACGACAAGTTGCGCACGGTCTGCTCACATTCAAATACAGTGCTGCCAACAAATGACAGCATGCAACAAAAAAATCTTTCCTTGCAAGGGCACATTTTCGGCCATAACTCTTGAACGGCTGGTCAGATAGGGACACAATTTTCAGAGAATTTGCAGCTATTCATGCTCTTTTAACTGACGTAGCACTCAATATGAATTTACAAATTCGATTTTTCAGCGAATTTTTGGGTAGTCTGCCGCCTTAAAGGAGGAACGCTGCATCGCAGCCTTTTCGGACCAAAACCAATCGACTCAGCGTCCAAATGACTACAACATATGGACCAATCGCGGTCATCCATGCTTTTATAAGAACGAAATGGCGCTTTTAGTGACATTTTGCATACAAATCCCCATCTAGTAGGGCGCAGTCACCCAGTTTCGGTGGAAGTGCGCGAGTTCGATTGGGATTCAAGTAGGAAGGGAGCGTCTCAGCTTCCTCGGACCACGACCATTCGACTCAGCACCCCGAACACTACAACTGGTGAAATTTTAATGTTTGCCTTAACTTCCCGTTTAATGCCTCTACGATCACCTTGTGATTATGAGTTATAGTGTGTGTACATACGTACAATGTATTTTTTACTGTATCAGTATGTCATACTGATACAGTAAAAAAATATAAAAAAATCTATATTCAGCGGCCTACTTCTACCACTAGGTGTTGAACGGCCTCATCTCACAGAGTCACCCCGCGTGTATGTAGCATCAGTGATGGTAATGAGTCACCTGATGCGACCCTTCCACTATTACATTTGACAGCTTCTCAAGCAGAGCGTGAAGTACCTGGAGGCTGGGGCTTATCGTAACGCCCGCAGGTATTCAACCGCCGGCATAATCCGTTACTCAATTTAGGGGCCATCCGGTATTTTTGATAATTATCACCCAACGAAAAAGTTTAGTTAGGACCCTCCCCCACTCCCCCCCCCCCCCCCCCCCCCCCGAGCGAAGAATAGATCGACTTGACATCAAGAATGCGATGCCTTGATGTCTCACATATCGATATTTTTCAAAACGAAACTCCCTTTGACCCACCCACCCATAAGCGAAACTTTTTCTCTGTAAAAGATCGATAATTATGGACGTCCCCTTTAATACTGATTAATAGTTAATACACGAACTAATATTGTACCCGCAATCGCTCTCTCCCTCTCACCTGATCAAAATGGTTGCCCAAGTAGAAATAAAGAATTGACGGTGCCAATGGCTTACCGCTGTAGAACGGCCTATGTTCTTGAATGTAGATATCCTTTCTCATCTATGTTCAGTTAACACCGTGACAATCCAAATTGAACCAGAAAGGCTGAAGTCAGCTACGCATCCTCATAGAATTTACTTTACCTCCTCGTGTTTATCGCTGAACTGTACGGGAAGCTAAGTGCGATGTACGGTGCTCCGCAAATGCGTACGAAAGCTAGAACGTTAGCGTACGATGTACGGTGAATGTGTAGGAAAGTTAAAAATGTTCGTACGCGGCTAAAAGTGTGTACAGGAAACAAGCACTGGTACATGGTCAATAGATCGCGGATCATTCAAAGAGATTACGGAGAAAGCATTACAGGTCTGCTCTCGATATAACAACTCTCACTTGTACATAAACCTCGCTAGTAAGTAAAATAATCAAATCCCGTGCCGAAACAGCATCACTCCCATACAAATTTTGTTCTACACAACAAAATCCTACATAACATAAACCTCGACATAACACACGCTACGGCGCGGTCCCCGACCTACGCACTCTCGATACAACATAAATTCACGTGCACGGTACGATCAAGCGGTAGCTGCAGCTAGGCAGTTTAGTCCTACATAACGTAAACCTCGGCATAACGCACCCTGTGGCGCGGTCCCCGACGTGCGCACGCTCGATACAACGTAGATTCACGTGCGCGGTACGATCAAGCTGTAGCCGTAGCTAGCCAGTTTAGTCCTATTGTGCATATATTCTGCGGCATTGATGGTATCTAATGTCGATGGTGGTACAGTGTGTATATGTTTGCACGGTTAAACCCGCTTTGTAATACCCTTCATTTTGAGGTACATCTTGTATTTACACACGGTTTTCTTTTCTACATAACATAACTCTCGATATAACATAATTTGTGCGTGGTCCCAGAGATTACGTTATATGGAGAGTAGACCCGTACTAGTACCACACACGATAGAGGGTCTACCGAACTAATGTGCAGAAGTGGTCTTCATGAAACCCAAGGATCAATATTGCAATTTTTTGTGGAAAATTCTTATACGTCTAATAGTTCTTACTAAAGTACCAGTCCACATTCTTTCTCCGTTTCTCTCTAGTAATAGTTCATGAATCCGCCCAGTCCACATTCCTTCTCCGTTTCTCTCCGTTTTTCTTTCCTTTCAGTTGCATCGTCCTCTCTGCTCTGTTTTATTTTCTCTTTTCGTTCGTCCCTCTTGATATTTGTACTTTGTACTGTTGAGGCAACGAACTGAAATAATAAAAACCAAACCAAACCAAACCAAAAGTATCACCGCAACCTTCCTAAAAGGACCTACATGTATATACCGAATAACAACTATTACCATGTCCACTAACTTGCTACTATCCTCTTTTCTATAATTATGTTCAAGTATGTGAACAG